CAAATATATAAAAATGACTGACTGTTAGGTTACCTGAAATTTCAAATTTAACTCAAAATACTTTAAAATATTCTTACTCTATAACCATCATCATGTGTCAGCTCTCCTAATACATTTATGTTAACTGAATACAAAAGAAACGTGAAATAAATATAACCAGGAGGGATGATCAAATCTAATTTTGATACATTAGTGTCATATGCTGTACATGTTACAATAGCAGCCAGACTTTAAACTAAGCTGCAGGCTATACTGAAATTTCCAAATGGCAGATTGTTCTAAGTGATATCAAGTATAATTGAAGTAATAAACGATAGTAAAAGCAAAGCACACTGTCAGGAAGAATTTAAGTATTTACTTTTTAAAATTAAATGAGTTAGGTTTGGAAGGGCAAGACAAGTGAAATAATGCAGGGCTCAATTTACTGAAAATTCCTTTTATTTATCTGTTACATTAACCCTTGAACTCTTGCCAAAATTACTGTAATTTCTAATACCCACTTACCTAAAGGAGGCAGAAAAAAGCTATTATATTTTCTTCTGATAGAACAGCTAGCCTCAACTTTTTTCTTCTTCAAAAATTGAAGTGTTTATTACAAAAAGAACAAAAGGAGCAAAGATATATGAAATAATGGCTTTATGCAGCTACTTTTGTCCATTTAATGTTAACAGCACTACTGTCTACAGCGCATGCACCTTCTAGATTAATCTCTCACAAAACTTTGTCTCAGTAGCTATGGTGTGTTAGGGGTTTTGTTTGGTTTGGGTTTTTAGCAATATGTGTATCTAACTGTAACTAAAAAAAATACTGTACTAATAATTCACATCTAAAAACCTTCAAGTTCCCAATACCTGTTAGCAACACAATAAAAAAAACATAAGTACTGGGAGCTGTAACAATTTTATGTGGTTAGGATCATGTCACGCACAACTTAGAATTGTGTAATATACCAAAAGCTCAAGATTAATTAGTATTCTAATCACTAACAACATTACTGCTTTTTATTTACATTCTGTGTGTATAAAATTCTCACTTACAATGCATTCACTCCTTTAGGAAGTTTTCTCCTAAGGAAGGAGGAACTAGACAGATGATAGCTCATTTATGTGCCTCTACAACCCTTCTCATTCTGTGAACTGAGTCTTCACATTACTTAGTTCTCATATTCTCTGCAAGTTTGTAAGGTGTAAATACTTTTTACTCTAACCTTTAATTGTAACAAAACCAGAATGGATTGCATTATCAGCATTAAAGCTTTAATTTTGTATTTGCAAGTTAAATAGTTATTTTATGTACATATTTCAATCTTAAGTTCCATTACACAATCAGAAGTTTTTCATCGGTTCTTGAATTCATGTCTTTTTTTGCCCTTGTTCATATCTCCAGAAACAAATGGAGGTATCAAGACACTTCAGAGGTATCAAGACACTTAAAAGTTTAATTTATTACTCTCTAAGACTGACGGAAAATCAGTTTTAAAATGGCTTAGCTCCTGAAACATCAGAATCTTGATTTTACAGTGGCTCAACTGGCAGGAAGAAGTTTTGTTTTAATTTAATTTAATTTCCATTTATAAGATGAACCTATCATGTACCTCTAGGCACATTTACAATATAAAAACCAGCAGCAATTTGAAGATAACTCCTGCAAGTTTTCTTGTTTTTCTCCCATTGACTAAAACTGACCAAAAAACCCATGATAGACCTGCAGAGAAGCTCAAATCCCTTTCTCTGAAGGTCACAAAGAGTACAAGAGTACAAGCACTCAGAACAAAGTAGAGCACTCACGTGGCTCTCAAATAATTTTGATAGTGTGTGTGAGCTGATTTCACAAAACACAATCCTTTTGCTGATATGTTCAGTCCAAGCATCATGAGTAGTTGCAGAAACAGTAAATGAATTAAGAGTGTTTTCCCACTCATGTCTCCTGATAGCACTTGCTGATTTATCCCAAGATGTAAACTTCAGCTGATGTTTCTTTCAAGTTTAGGATGAATTTCTTTACATCTCTCTTTGCTGCTGGGTCCTTGATAGCTAATACTTCTTCCCACAAGTCTTTACTTGCTGAGTAGGAGCACTAAAAGTCTTACCTACTCTATCTCCTTTACCTAACATATCATCATTAAACATACACAAAATGAACAGCTTTTAAACATTATTAGATTTGACTGGAATAGGCCAAAAACTGTTAGGGAAGGGAGGAGAAACAGAGAGAGGCTCATAAGCCTCTGTTCTTGGGAAAATATGCTGAAAAAGAACAAAATCAACACACTGAGGAAGAACAGAAAAGAAACCCACAGAGAAAAAAAAGTAGCTTGATTTAACAGTCAACCAGTAGCTGAGCCACAAATATAATCTGAATCTATTGATACACTCTACATATCCATACAGACCTCAAAAATTCCAAATCACTGATGAGTGAGACTGTTGGTAAAGCAGGAGAGAAACAGGCCTGGGGCAAACTGGAATTGTGAAGAAGCCCAGCTGACACAATTTTCACAAGCTGAGTCACAGGAAGCCTGGACCAGCCCTGAACCTTGCCTGGCAAGAACAGCTATAGGTACATGCAGGGTGCTCTGTGGTGGTGTATCCCTCCCTACGCCCTTGGACTTAGAAATGCTCATTAGGTCTTGGCCTTGACAAACAGCACATGGGCTAAGCTCCTCTTTAGTGTATCAGAAACACTGTCTGGTCCCAGGAGCTTGTGCTATCTAATGAGCTCCTGTTTTTAATGAACAACCTTGGAAGCTTGTTTTTCTTGCATGAATAACAGTCCAAGTGGAACTGGTAATCAAAGTTGTAATCTTGCAGCCCTATAAACAGTGGTTGGAAGTGAGATCCTTTGAGGTCTCCTGGCTGCAGCCAGCAGTCTCTGAGTGGGACACACCTCAGAAGCAGCAAACTCTCAAGTTTGCTGTACTCAGAGGATTGCTGCCAAATGCCACCAATGGAGCCTGGGCTGATACTCCTGCTGCTCAAGGACGAAGCCCTTCACTTGCTGAGAAGATGCAAAGGCATCTGACATGAGTGGTTCACTGAACTCAAGGACAATTTTTTACAGGTGTATACCTCACACATACTCCTTTAGATCTGGGTGCTTGCAAGTGTAAATGTGCTATAGCAACTGTACTATGAACATTGTTCTCACATTAAGTACTTTATATTTATAAGTAAGTTAGGTCTATAACCCAGTTACTGTTGTGCTATAGTAAATTCTATAGAAGCTTTTGTTAAATTGTTTCAATTAAGCTATCAATGTTAAGTGCTGTTAAGTTCACATGCCAGAAAAAGCTCTAAACCTAAACTGTTGCTCAAGTCTGGGGCTAAGTTTGGCAAGGGGATCCATTCTGAACCTTGTGACTCATTGGGAGGATCTTCCTCATTGCTTTTTATCCTTACCCTTTCCCATCCTTACCCTTTTTTCATGCCCTGCCTCCACACAGACCATATTTGGTTGATTTCAGATTGATTGATTGATTTTTTGTTTTAGTCTGACTTTTCTCTGTGTGCTTTAAGCGTGCAGTAGGCAGTACACTGAACCTTGCCAAAGAAATGTATCACACTTTTATTTGAATATTACACCTGCTTTTGCTAATGCCTTTGCTGGTCATTCTTTGAGCTACCTAAAACATTCATGACATGCTCCTGGAAACAGACATGAGATCTTGCCTCTGTGTTCAGCTGAAGTCCACAGCATTTTCAAATTATTCACTATTAATTATTTTTCACTATTAACTGTTTTTCACCCATCTTCCCCCTTTTCAACACTTTGTAATGATCTAATTCCAACAGATTATAAACAAACATTTTAAGGTTAATTACAATCTGTGTTTTATAAAACCAGGTTTTTGTTTAAAAAATAAGCCAGTCAACTTAAACAGATCCCCCCCGCCCCCGCCTTGGTCTATACCAAAAGAGTAGCAACAACCTAATTTTAAAATTAGTTATTTTTGCTATTAACCACTTCTATAAATCATTTAACAACCTTAGTATTACCCTGATTCTACTTCAGGAAATAAAGAACAGAAAGGCTGCAGCATAATAGGAACACAAGCAAAAGCATTTTTAATTAAAAAACTCCACCAAACCAACCTGAGATGGAACAGTGACAAGTTAGAATTCATAGTTAGTCTATAATAAGAACAATAATATTTTTTCTTCAAGTTGAACACAAAGAAAAAGAAGTCATTAATAATTGAAGCTTGCCAGAGGCATGGCTATTTCTCTCTTTACTAACTGTCTACCATCTAATTTAATTACAAGTATTAAAGTCCATGCTGAGGTCAACCAGCTTCAGTTCCTCCAATATTACACTTCAACCAGTGCTTATTAACGTGTCCAGTGAATGGATTAGCACATCTGAAGATGTATGTATGCAGGATGGGGGGACAGTCTGAGGACAGCTAATTGTTCATTTATAGCAGGACACATGTTCGAGACTGTAACTTATTATCACTAATGTGGAATTTATTAAATTCTAAAGAAAAAAAATACCAATACAGAAACCCTTTTTTTTTCTTAATGCAGCTGTAAGAGATCATATCACTGTTGAGAATCTGTGCTTCCTCCAGGACAATACACTTTACATACAATAAACATAGTTTTCATATTTTAAACTTTTTTTAAAGGGAAAATTATGTTAATAACCTGCACATGACCCTTAGGTGAATAAAAAGTCATCTCAGAAAGCACTTACCACATAATTCTTAATTGGCATCTAAGGTTTCAAAAGTACTAACATATCATTCAGATGTAATACTTTTTTTTCTGCACCAACCATTACTTCCCTGCACTTTTCATATGTTCTTGCCAACAATTCCAATGATGGTAAATAACACCAGTATGGTAAAATTAGAAATTGGCAGAGAATATACAAACTTAGCAGGTAAAGATGGTGTTTTGTTGTTGTGTTGGATTTTTTTAAAAGTTACTGGATTTTCTTTGACTCTGATTTCTCTATGTTTACTACCAAGAGAACACTGTTTATTCAGAGACACCTACCTTTTTTGTTAAAGAGTCATCTGAATCAGAAGGCATTCTTGTTGACACATGGAACATGACTTCCACTGTTGAGGTAGCAAAATATGGAGTGGTCAATCCAGTGCTTTTGTTTTTTTGCAGTCCTCCCATAAAGCCACAATGGTTTGTGAGATTTACCTAGAATTAAAGACCAGGAAACTTTACAAGAAAAAATTATCAGGTAATAAATACATGCTTTATACTTTAAAATGGACTTTCAACTGAACTTTAAAAGTGAAGATCCTTTTCCCAACAGTATAGTTACACTTGGTTTCTAAAAGAGCTCAGACTTGCTGACTAGACTGGAAATCAACTGCAGTGCACTAGCATTCTGTGTTCCACGGTCACCACAGAATCTACTGGAAAAATGAAGTTAGAAGAAAGGAAAGATTGTGTAAATAATATTTACTGCATTGTTCCCTGATCATTTGAGTATGGTCATTTACATGTGCTTTCTGTTTTTTTTTTTAAATTCTCTTATGCTACATCAACTTTGACCTGAGTTCTGGAAAAAACTCTGTGTAACAGCCAGGGAATTTATTACCTTCCATACATTTTTTGAGATTTTTTTCATTCTGTGAATATAAAAAAAAATTCACAGGAAACAAACTGATAATTTGTAAATAAGCTTTTAAGTCTTAGATCAATGGGAAATAGTCTGACACTGAAATAAGTAAGGATGTTAAATGTGCTGTTTCACCTTTAAAACAGTGACTACAAAAAGGTGTTTTTCAGATGTGAACACATTTAATCTCTGCCCACATAGGATATATTTGTTTTCTTGATACTAAAGGATGAGAATTTAATGTTAAAATATTAGTTGTCTCATTATGGAATATTAATCCAAACTAGCAACTCTTTAAACTAGCTAATACTGCCTAAGAGAATTAAACCACAAAAGAAGGATATTTTATGGTACTAGTGCTGGGTTTTTGTCCTCCTGAATGTGGAAAATAAACATCTATGCTCATGAAAGTCAGCAGACTTGTAGCTGTTTTCCTCTGTTCCTGTGGGAAAGTCAGAGTCATTATCCACACAGTTAATTTGATAGTGTCCTTTTATACCTAAGGAGTAAAGAAACACAAAGAACAAATAAGATAGACACTCATGTGGACACTCCTGATGAGCACAAGTTGCAAGAGGAGCCAAAAACCTGCAGCTTCCTATACAGACAACCAGGACCAAAAGTCATTCCTGTATTCTGTGCAACAGTGCCAAATTGAACTTTACAGTGGTAATTAATCCTGTGCATCTGAAAGAAAGATGGAAAAAAGGAAATCCTTATGACAGTATTGAACAAGTGACTAAAGAGCTGCAGGCCCATATAGATGATGGGGTAGATCACAATATTTCTGGCTGGAACAGAAGTAGAGTGGAGTGTGTGAACTGATACATGCCTGCAGTGGAAGGCAGGAAGAAGAGAGTATGTGAGAAGCTGCTTGTCTGTACTTTTTGAAGTTCCAAATTTGAGCAAAGCTCAAACTTCAATGGACTTCATACTTTACAAGCTTACAGGGAAATCAAGATGCCTCCTAATCAGTCCATGAAAGCCAAGTACAGGACTGCACATTAAGGAATTATCTTTGTCTGCACAGACTTTCTTCAGTTGTTGAGAGCTTGAATTTAAATGGCTAGTAATGCTAATGAAACTAAAACAGGAATTCTTCTCTAAGTCCATTTCTAAACTGGTGTATTTCAGTACTTGTGAGAAACGCTGAAGAGCCAAAGACTTGTAATATATGAAGGCATCGGTCATTGTCTTTGTAAAAAAACCTAGGATAAAAACATTGAATAAATACCTCCCAGCCAAGACCAGCAACAAAATCCTCATAGGCTTGACTTCCCCCAGTATTCGTAAGAATGGAGTGTTTATCTTCCTGTCCCTCAGCAACATAAAACACTGCAATCTTGTGTGTCTCTCGGCTGTAAAACAGAATGGTCATTGCATTACAGTGCCTTAACCAACACGAAATAAAGATATGCAAACAATACACACAGAGCATGGCTTTTAAAGCATAAAAAAGCACAGTGGAATTACAGTACAATGATACGGCTTCTTTTTGAATATCCCCTATATTTTCATGTCCTCATTCTGTCCTTTCTAGCGTCATCTTCTCCAGAGACTGAAGTTCTGCTATACATGAGCAGCATTTACCCCTATCATCACTTCCAAGATGCAGGATGGTGCTGCCTGTACCAATTACTAATGGAATAGGTGGGCTTTTGACATGGGAAAACCTGTAATGTGGGCATTATACACACTGCAATGCCCATTACCAACAGCACCTTCTGAACACTGTGAAAATGCAGCTTGTCCAACAAATTTTTAAAGTGTTTTTTAAATAATCATTTAAATGTCTTCTGTTGACAGATTATTGTTAGACATTGGAACAAATGGAGATGGTTTCTCACAATTCTACAACTTCCACTGGGTTTTGTTTCAACTTCTACAAAAACAAGTCAGTTTTTCAATTCTGTGCTACAATTCTAACTAGAAGTCCATGTCTTCAAATACTGGGACCATTTGAAACAGCTAAACAATCAACCAAAACATAAAATGTGAAGGCTTTGATATAGCAATGTTTTAAAAGAATTACATGTTAAGCATACACAAATGCTTATGTTTTGAAATTTGTTTATCTCATGGTATTTTACGTGCAGAATTTGACCCTACAAATAAAACCGACGCAACTTCAGTATAACAGAAAAAACTACAGTACGATACAAAATACATTAATAATTAAAAAAACTATTAAAAAAGTCAGCTCAACTCTCACATCTATGCAATTACAGCCATTTGAGTAAAAGCACACTTAAAACAAGTAAGTAGGCAGTCATTAAAAGAATTTACCATTGTCTTGAGTCCAAATTTCTGAGTTCTCGAAGTAACTTCTCATTTTTCTTCAGGAGATGAAAGCTCCTTCTAAATAGAGAAATTTGTAACTCTTTTATTACCTCTTCACTGATGGATACAGAACAGTACAACAACAGTACAACAACATATCCAGGTCCACTCAGGAACAGTCAGGAAATGCTTCTGCCTTTTCAACAGTCCTTTCCCAACATATAAAAATTAAGACATCTTAAAAATATATACAAGCAATTTTTCTTACTCCAGCAAATCTACATTCATTACAACCCCGAGTATAACCTTTATTTCTTTCCACTTTTTTCTGTCAACCCATTGGATCTGACTGGGATCCATTTCTTCTTTACAGAAGAACCATAAATATATATGTTTACTGACAAAAGACACTCCCATTAGTCTACTGTTGTAAGGAGTGGGTGCATTCAACACAGAACTTTTGCTACCCGGAACTCCAGGGCAGAACTTAGCTCAGTAATCACCCAGCCAGCTGCAACAATTTAAACAAAAAATGAAACCAATATGTGAGAGAAAGAAAGGCAGTTTTCATGTCTTTTCAGATGTGCTGAAGATGTTTCCCACAAAACACTGGGCAATTAAGAGCAGTCCTGTTAAAAACCAGACTGCCTTGGGGGAATTAAAGACCCAAATAAGAAGGATTGTAAGACCAACGTTTTGTCTGATTCCAGTGATACCTCAGTAATTTTTTTTTTTTTTGTTTTACCAAATATCCATTTCCCTTCATAGTAAGAAAACATATCAGTGATTCTAATATGGAATTTGAAAGCAATGGCAGATGATTTCAGAAAGACCCACAAAATTAATGTTTGTAATACTTGTACATACCCCCATATATATGCAGACATGCACTTAATCATGCCCACACAAAAATAATAATGTAAAAAGACATTACTTGTGTAATTGAACATGGTTCTCTCTGGTTCTAAACAATATTCAAACAGTACTCAAGCACAGTCAATATTGAAATAAATAGCAGGGACACATCTTTCTCATTAGCTACACATATGCAAGGCTTTGAGGCTGCATGCAAGCATGCTTTTAGCAGACAAAGCAGCAGGACACTGTCCAGCGACACAATAGCTGAGAATATGACACTTTCTGAGTATTATTCTGACATTGAAAGGTAATGATTTTTGCAGCAACATACATAGGAAGCAAAGAAAATACATGATTCCTTCAATTTGCCTTCCAACACTTTTGAAGGAAAGACTAGGAATCACAATAATTGCAACAGATTCCTCCTTTTTGTCTCTCTAAATGACAGGCTGAAAAGCAGAAGAAAGCTGCCATTTAGGCCTTAGATGCACATCACCTCTCTTTTGTTAGCTGGCCTGGAATATTTTTGGCTTAACAAACTCTATTATCAAGGTAAGAACAACACAGTTCCTCAAAAAATTTCTTAAAATATGAGTAGCTTTACCTTTTATCCCATGAATTCATTCCTAGTATACTGAGAAGTAATCTACAGTAGTAAAATGCTGACTGTGGCTTTTGTGAGGTTGGCTCATCCTGCTCCATAGCCCTCATATTTACATCATTGAAATGCTTTTCAACAAACTCTCTCTCTTCTGTGTGCTGTTTCAGAATTGCATTGATGACATCGTTCTCCTGCTTTTCTGAGATGCAGACTGGTTGAGGAGCAGGGATGTTGAGTGAAACACCAGTTCTCTGTAAGCATTCAGGGCTTGTAACACCTAAATACTGCAGCAGCTCATCAAGAGCATCTTCTTCATCCCTAATTGTATCCCATGTTGGTACAGTGTCTCTAAATTTCCTTTTAACTTGGAGTGTAATTCCATCTCTTGCAGATACATCCTCCACATGCTCAAAAGATGAAAGAGCATCTTCTGGTTTATCTTGCTGAGATAATGAAAGTGCAAAAGATGTTTGTTGTGAAGATCCACATAAAGATGATGGTCCATACAAAATGGCCGAATCCCATGAGTATTTGCCAGACAGATCACGCACTATAATTCTAACATTTGAATTAGCTGATGCAAGTCCAGCAGACAGTCCTCCCCCAGGCATGTCATCTTCTGCTTGGATTTGTATGCAAGACACCAGGGAAGTATTGTTTAATACAAAGAATTGAAGATTTGGGTTCTCAAAAAGTTCAGGAGAAAGCTCAGGACTTTCACTGTATGGATTGTCATTGTTTTCACACACTTGACTGGTCAGCATAGCAGGACCTCCACTCATAGGATAGTGGCCTAAGTGGTTGACTAGATGTGTAATCACAGTACGAGCAGCAACAGAAATTAATCCTTGTTGCATGTGAGTTTTCACTGCAAGAGAAAGAGTACAGGTTTTAAAAGAAGAGTTCAGAAAACAACACTGGGATTTATGTGTTTCTTTTGGTCTCTTCCTGAGAGAATGAGCGCTGCAAGCTGAGGATACATGCAACTCAGTAACAGAAGAATATTATCTTGATGACCATTGGTCTTGTATATAAACAGCATGAAAAATCCTTAAACAGTTAAAGAAGCATCTCCATTATTTTATAGCCTTGTCTATGTCTACAGATTATACTTCCTTTGCCATAGCTTTGTTATTAGAACTGTTCTTCTAAAATGCACAATTTTTTATCTAGTGAAAATAAATCTTGAATTCCTGTTGAAGTAGAGATCATAACTGTGTTGCAAGATGTCCATTCCAACTGCAGTGTATTTTTATATTTATACACATCATTACACTGAGAAATACAAAGGAAGATAGATGCACAAAATGTCTAATCCATCTTAATTTCCCTGGGGAGCATATAGCTGTAGGTCAGCTTGAGAATAGCACTGGATAATTTAAAAGTACAAAATGAAAGACAAGGCTGTCTATATTGAACATGATCTAATACTTTCAAAATTTTAAAAAATGAAATCTCATGCCACAACTGCATTTTAAGAAGTTTCCGGTTAGAAAACCTTGGAAGGGAGAAAGAAAAATTAATTGTGCCCATCTTAGGTGAAATTCATCCTGTGAGATGCACTGGTATTTCAATATGGTTTTTGCCACCTCCTTCTTTGCTGCATACCTTCCACTTGCATGTTACGGTATCTAAATTCACAAAAGGTATTTTTTATGTTTATATCACACCCTACTAACACAGTACTGTATTGTTATTGAATTATTCTTATCAAGTCCACTCTACATGAAGTACGTGAGCCAGACAAAGTGAGTCTCTCAGGTCGAGAACTGTCAACTGGTTCAGGGGACCCACTGAAGAATCCATACACAAAGATATTACACTGCAGAATAAGACTGGTGGAAGAGGGAACAAGATCAAAATGGCAAAGTACTTGTTTTCTGTATCCTCTCTCTTGTAACTGGGCATGGATGCCCTGAATTTGGGATTTACAAAGGAAAGATTAAAAAACTGTACTCCTGAGGATTACCTCATACATTTTAAATTACATTAAACATTGAAAACTGCTGCAAACGCTTCCCATCTTCTTTCTCACCAAAATCCATCAAACCAGAATGTTCCGAATGATGTTACTTTTTCATTCAGTATTTACTGAGAACATGTAACCTCTTCGGCATAGAAGTAAAGTATAATGAATTCATCTCCCTTTGTGTTGGATAGCCACAAGCTGCAAAGCCTAATCTTTAATAAAGAAATTTCTCAGTTTCAGATGTCTTAATAGGTTTAACTGGAAAAATAAAGGCAAATTTGTCATGTGTACTGACTGCCGTTATAGATCTTCCGTTTCTGATGATGGATGCATTCAGCAACTGCAAAAATAAACAGGTAGTATGTATTTGTCTTTTTTTTTCCCCAAAAGGTTTGGGTACAGCATGTAGATGTTTGGGATTCTGGCTATTCTCTTCCTTTAGGAAGCACTACATCTGAACTGCAAATAGGGAAACATTTCATCTGGTTAATAGCTGGCAAAATCAACATAACATTTACACAACTCTAAAACTCAGATCTACTCAAGTATTTTAATAAATAAATGCTTTGAGAATTAATACAAGCAAATTAGAGATAATATTTTTATCATCTATAGCCTTCTTGAGGTTTGAAATTTACAAATACAAAAACATTCAGTGATGCTGAATTATGTGTCCAGACACTGGCAGCATACAAGGAAATTAAGTTATAGTGCCATCTGCTGAAACATAAGAAGGAACTGGAAGCAGATTTTATACTAAACAAAGAGAAAATAAACTAGGTGCTTGAAGAATCATTTATCAGCACATTATTGACTAGCACCTGGACAATGCAGAGGGTGGCCCAGCTTTATCAGGATATTTATACCAAGTATTTAACACTTGCCACTGCAGAGATAAATAAGGTAATACTTTTCTCAGGTTCCCAGGAGCAGAGACACACTCCAGATACCTGAAGTCCCACTCTATAAAGGTTAAATGCCCCCTGTTAAGTTCTGCTGAGAAACCTGAAGAAATAAGGACCTTCTAGCACATGTTATTACTATTACTGTTGTGTGCCAAGCCCTAAAGATCTCTAACTGACCACAGTTGCTTTGTGCCTGTGAGGGAGAATTTACTCCCTTAGGAGCCTAAGGGACATATGGAAAAGAAAGGTGATGCAGTGAGATAGAGGGGAACAATTAATTTAAATTTGGAAGATCCATTCTCAGTCCTAATATAGCCTTGCCCTGAAAACTTTGCACTTGAATTAAAATCATAGATCTGTCATTGTTTCTTTTATAAAATTTGACCACTCCATCTGAGTCTTCTCTCAGAATACAGTGCTGTTGATCTAAAAATGACACAGAAAATTTAAATTAGAAGTATCAAGACAAGCATACTGAAAAGTAGACTATAAGATGCAACCTGTTATGTTGAAATATAATAAAGTAATCTTGAAACATTTTTGCCACACAGAAAATCAGATTTTGATGATGGTTTCCCCAGGAGAAAAAAAAAGGAAAAACCCCAAGCCTATGCATTTTGTGCATAAAAAATCCCAAGTAATGCATTTTGAAATTATGAAAATTTTATATTAATTTTGCAACTTAATTTATTCCTAGAAGCACATCTCTTCAATCAGGAATAACTGGACATTCAATATATTAAAACCTTAAAATGAGTATCTAAATCATGTTCTTTGTTTCTGGAGGGCAAATGAAAATACGTAATAATGTAAGCCACCACAGCTACACCACAAATTCTACAAACTAAGTCATATCTTTACACATTAAGGCGGTCCAGCTCACTGCTTTGTTGACCTGTCTTCCTGAGAGAACACATTGCTGCTTTCTTCAAAATGGTACTGCCTCTGGCTTGGGCAATGTAATTTAAATATGTACATGATCACCTCGCAATTTACAAGAAGCATGTTATACTATTTATTTTTCTTAATCCTGAGATTACCCCTTTTGTGGAAAGGCTGAAGGTCCATCACTACTAATTTGTATCTGTGGCATAAATGAAGGATTCCTTAAGATGTGCTGTTAATTTTTTAATTCAACTTTGGCTGAACAGTTTTAAGCAGCTGTGGTTATGTAGTAGAAGTAAAAAGTAATGACTGAAGGTAGAATTTAACTCTCCCTATCGTTTTAGCTGTCTAAAGAATGATGACCTGTACAGACTGATTAATCCCAAATTCAATGGGATTAATTGCTCTCTAAAAACACTTATTTTTTTTCATTATGTTTAGAGGGAGCTTAAGAGTATTCCTCAATTTAGTTTTCTGTATTTTACCTTAGTTTAAGCAAGTCTCATTCCTTTCTAATTGTAAACTTCAGCTATATAGACATGCAGTAACAGAGAACCCATCTCTAGAATATTCCCCATAACACAAAATTTGGGTTAATCTAGACGCACTATGTACAAAGTCTTTTTTTAAAAGTGTGCATTTTGTGGCCTTTCAGTAAAATGGCAAACAGCAAACAAAGCCTCATATGAAAAATACTTTATAGTTCTACTTCTTAAACAAAAGCTAAGACTAGACATCAGGCAGGGAAGGTTTTTCATTAGAAATTGAAAAATATTAGAAAAAAAGATCAATCTATGCAAAAGAGTTTAACATATGTTTGGAAAAATATGAATAATGGGGTAAAAATCAAATCAATAACTGATAGACCACTGTATCCATGTAAGCTTACTAGAACCTTCCAATCACAACTACCTCTAGCAGATTTGTGATCTATGAAGAACATCTTTCAAAATGTTTTTGTCTACAATAGCAAAAAAAAAAAAAAAATTTCTCCATCATATAAGTTTCTGGTCCTGAAATGAAACGGAAGAGTTCAGCAGTAAGTTGTAAGTTAGCAGGTTGTGGCACTATGCAGTCCAGGTTGGCTTAGGAACACCTAAGCTGGCTAGTGAGGTGGCGTTAGTTAGAACAGTGGGTTTGTGTGGCACGGTTTTGGTAGTGTGGGCGTTACAAGGGGGGCTTCTCTGAGAAGCTGCTAGAGGTTTCCCCTGCTGCTAGAGGTGTCTGATGAAAACAATGTCAGCCATCTCCAAGTCAGACCAAGCTGATCAGCGATGGAAATAATGCCTACGGAATAAGAGTTAAGAAGGAAAAAAAAATATTGAGCAAAAGGAAGTTGCAGCTAGAAAAGAGCAGAGTGAGAATATATGAAAGCAACAACTCTGCAGACACCAAGGTGAGTGAAGAAGGAGAGGTAGGAGGTGCTCCAGGCACCAAAGCTGAGATTCCCTGGAGCTCTAGTGCAGACCATGGTGAGATAGGATGTGCCCCTGCAGCCCATGGGGGTTCATGATGGAACAGATATCCACCTGCAGCCCCTGGGACCCCATGCTAGAGCAGGTGGATGCCCAAAGGAGGCTATGATCCTGTGGAAAGCCCACAATGTACCAGGTTGCTGTCAGGAACTCTGGTGCAGTGGAGAGAGAAGCCCATGCTGGAGCAGGCTTGCTGTGATGACTTGTGACCCAATGCTGGAAGCAACAGGACTGAGCCATATGAAGGGGACCCACAGTAGAGAATTCATGAACAACTGCAGTTTGTGGGAACGACTTGTGTTGTAGAAGTTTCCTGTGTGAGGGCCTCCATGCTGGAGCAGGGGAAGAGCATGAGGAGTCCTTCCCCCGTGGAGGAAGGAGCAGCAGAGACAATGTGTGGTGAACTGACTGCAGTCCCCCAATCCCCACCCCTCTGCACCACTAGGGGCAAGGAGGAGGTAGAGATTTACAATGAAGTTAAGGCCAGGAAGGAGGGAGGGGCAGGGGTATGATGTTTTGAAGACTTGGTCTTATTTCTCATTATCCTATCCTGATTTGCTTGGTAATAAATTCAATTAATTTCCCTAAGTCAAATCTATTTTGCCCATGACAGTGATTGGTGAGTGATCTCTTCCTGTCTTTATCTCAATTCATGAGCCTCTCCTTATATTTTTCTCTCCCCTGCATAGATGAGGAGGAGAGTAATGGAGCAGCACCGGTGGGCAGCTGGCATCCAGCCAGGGTCAAACCACTACCATCACCATTTTTACTGTAACTAGAGTAGGTTGTTGCCAACACTAACTAGAGGAACAGTTCATCAGCCTTCATATGGACAAGCCCAGGGATTCTTCAGATGTATGAAAGCATCACAGACTTGCTGCCTGCAAGTTCTGATGATGCAACAAAAGCTTCCTACTGATGTCCTTACTGAGAGCTGCTAAAAGTTCATTCTGGTTTAAATGCAACAATTTAATATACTTAATACCTAATTTTAAAGTTATTCTTTGTATATCTCATACTGAAATCTACCACTTTACCAGCTACAGAAAGCAAAACAAAGACAATTTTACAGATAATCCTAGGTTAAGAGCTTCCTTGTGAGTGACAGAACTTGTAAAGTTACTGAAAAAGAGAAGCCAATAATCATCTTCTCTCTCAACATACACCTCTTCCCAGAGGATTTAAGAAATCTTTGTCCTGCTGTTTATTGCATGGCTTGCTCCACACCTCTCAGTAGATCCTGTCTCCCCTACACAGCTGTGTCACTCTAAATGCTGTATCTTCTTGGTCTCATACCACATTATGCTGTGGCTAAGTATCCCCAAAACTTGTGATGGATGTGACCTTGAACAATGGAGGCATAACAGGCTAAATCAATCACATCCTTTCAAGCACCCTGCCTTAAGAATTCTGTAATTTCAGCACTTTCAGCTTTGCTTGTGACCTAAGGAAAGAGTCTCGCAATTCCCACCCTGTTTTTGTAGAACTTCCCTGAATTTCCTGTAACTTCCACCCTGCTCATTTCCATTCCTTCAAAAAAGATACTATGATAGCCCTTTTACTCTACTAAAAGATGCTGATCCACTGGCATACTGTTCTGCTGCTAGCTTGTACTAATTTACCCTCTGTCTTGACAGAGACCCAGACTGGTTGTTATCCACAAGTTTTACTCCTCTCACTCCTCCAACAATGCCAGGGAGAACAGATGCTGTGCAACCGGTCAAGCACTGCCAATTTTATTCTCTGCCTGGAATGGGGACTAGAAGTGCCAAGGTTGCAGAACCAGGGTTGCATTATAATGCTGTAGTCTGCCAATTAAATTTCACAGTCTAACTTACAATTCCAGAGCCCTGAAACTTAATTTATCTGGAGAGATAAAAGGAACATCTGAAATTACTTTTATTAAGAAATTTAACAAGAAATCATAAAAGATCATGGTTGGAAATGCAAAATGAAGATATTGATGCTAAGGCTTTGTGCACCCGTATTCATTTAAAGAAAAATCTATTCAAGGTTGTCTTTTCAGATTGTCAAATTAAAAAAGCCACACAGCATTTGCTTCTAACCCATAATTACAGATTATTATGGAATACAAAAGATGCCAGGCATAAAAAGCTACTACAATTCACTACACTGTAATAGAACATGCAGTGGAAGTAAATTTTGGCAAATGCCTTAAATATTAGCTTTATATAATATGTATAGGTGAGACTGTAATTAGGACAGAATGAATCCTTCGAAGCCTCTTTCATTCTGACCCTGCAGATGATTACTTTTTACTAATAAGGCCACAGCCATTTGACAAAAAGCCAACTATAGTACCTTGCTTCATTCTTCACTAAATTTAATAATTACAGCTCCTCCTGCCAGTAGTTCTCAGATCAGACTTGTTCAATCCAATACTGAGCTTATTAGGGGACAGCTCTATGTTTAGAATTCTTTGGCCAAAAAAGTACTTGAGGATGATGAAGCATGCCTTAGACAAGGGCACAATGATTAGCCATTTTCTCTACATAAAAAACAGCACGTAGTCACTACAGACCACAAAATCACCTGCTGTTAGCACACAGCTGCTACAAAGAACTGCTGCATTTATCTGGTTCTTAATACCCTTAAAAAAGCCTAAATGGAACAACTTAATACAGAGGCAGAATAGCACTACACAGAGTTGCTCGTATCTTAATCTCATCTTTTTCAGTTTTCTTCCCTATACAGCCATTTGATACTTACTAGATACATTGCATAATACATGATAATCCTCTGTGGCTTAAGATTCTTGAGTCTTTATTTCTGAATTATGAAGAAAATGTTAATTCCCATGTCTCCTAAGGTTCTAACCAGATGAGAGAAAATTTCTCTCTTTTTAAACAAATCTGTAGTTTTAAGAAGTGTAAAAAGAGATCAACAAAAAATTATGATAGGCTAAAAAGATTCAAAGAAAGCATTCGATACTGCAATGTCAAACAGGAACAAAAATCCAAAATTCTCCTAGAAAAAGGAGCAAAATAAGGAAAAATCAAATTAATTTACTGAGAGTGAAATGAAAAGCAACATTTATCCATGTTGCAGTACTTAACACTTCTGCTGATACACAGAGCACCGAAGAATCCATATCCTATTGATCTTGGTCTTGTTCAGAACATACTTATTTCAGTTAATCAAATGGTAATTGCTCAAAATTACATTTGCTCATTCCATACTAATGGTTCTTACCCAGTGTCTACATACAGCTGAAAACCTGTGCTGTAGACCAACACTTAAATACTGAAAACCCAGACAAAATTTTTGTGAAAGACAAAGTATTTAGGCAATTAGACAAACCTTCAGTGACTGGCTGAAGTTTAGAAGACCTCTCTGAGTCTGGAGAATGCAGTGGTTCTGGTTCCTTTAAGCTCTCTAAATGCATAAAAGGATCATAATCCATACATGCCAGATCAGAAAGACTTAGAGGAAAATATTTTGGGTTGCTAAAACACTGAGACCCATAGACACATCCATGCAGAACCTAGAACAAAACCAGAATTTAATTTCATTAACTACTGAAATTTATACTTTATAGTTTTATAAGAAATTAAGTTTATTTTAATTTGCATTTTAAGAATCTATTTGTTAGAAGGCAGGCATGATGAAACACTGGAAAATTTTAGATGCTTTATGTTTACAGAAACAAAGTCTGATCTGCAAAGAAAATGATTACCACCAAAGTGGAATTTAACAATAACAAAACTCACAAAAAATCATTAAGCTACCTTTATTTTTAGATCTCTTGTCTTCTTTAATTACATATGCTAGGTCTAAGCTGCATAATCTCCTTCCCTTGCAAAAAGGATAAAAACCCCTTTCTCCTGTGTTCCTAAAGACAGTAATTGTAACTTAGTGCTTTTTGCTTTGCTCATTGCTAAATGAAATTGCTTGATATATAAAAACGACATCCTTTTGAATTAAATGTATACTTAGTCTTCTACAATACAAGCATCTGCAATCCATATGACATTAAAAAAAAGGCTTGCTAATCATCCAAAATGTAAACCAAAATATACTATTCCAAATATACCAAAGGTCAAGCTGTTGCAGTGAAACATGTAAGAACTGAGCCAGCAATCTATATTTCAGGAGTAGAATGGAGGTCAGCTTACAGAAAACTTTTGCCTTCATTTCCATGGAAACTGACACTACCTCCATACATAGAAATTCCTATTAAGTGAGCAAAGAAACGTGTACCTTATATATACAATTAAGAACGGATCTTTCAGTCTTATCATTTTCTGCTCCTGTAGTGTGAAGAGGCTGCAGCAAAGTCTTCAATGGCAAGGCCATTATCCAATCCAGTAAGCACAGAAGTAAAGAAACCACCAACTGGAAAAAACACTTTCCATTACAATCAATTAAGCCAACACCTGCTAAACTGCTACTTCATATTTATCTTTTTACTTTATTTCTCTGTCTTGCCTTTTTTGTCAATTCAGTAAAGTCAACCTTCTGCAGTAATGGCAGGTCCCACTTGTTAACCACTGTATCTTCAAAACCTATGGCATCAGTAAAAACTTTGGCTACTGAGGTATTTAACAAAGGCCATCCATTCAACAGCTTCTCATCAGGGTAAGACTGTGAGCAGATACTATACTTAAGAGGATACCCACAGTTTTCAAAACTGATTTGTAGTGTATTGTTGTTAAAATGACAGATAACACAGATCCAAATTAAGGCTGATGCACCATTTTGCACATACATTTCACAGTAAAGTTAATCAAGGTTTACACAAAATGGAACCAATTGACCTGTACTTAGTGCTTTATAAATAACACATAATGTCCTTTACAACATATCAATAATGTTATGCACCAGGTATCATCTGAAAGAAATCCAACTGCTTTCTGTATTGTAGGTTACTCAGTTAGCAAAAGAATCAACTCCCTCTTGGGATGTTTTGAAAGACTCTGGAACAGAATTAGATTAAGACACAAATCCACACCAATCATCAATAACTTACAGACTAAATAAATGTTTTGGATTTTTAAAACTCAGATGTGGAAGAGAAGACAATTCAGATAAATATCTGCAAGATTCTCTAAAATATTTCTCAAGGTAAATAGAAGTCTTTAAAAAAATCAATTTACCTAATTTACTCATTTCACATAATGCATTCCAAGCTTGTCCTTCAAAAGTATAACAAACCTAATGAACTCCACAGCGAAGCTAATTCAGAAGAGACACAGCTTTTAGGAGGCAGAAAGTACTAGAAATGAAAAATACTTACCCTCTTGTCCTGCTCATAAGAGGAAGCTTCTGTACTGGGTAGCAGATGTGTAATAGTTGCTATCAGAATCTGGGGAAATATACCATATTTATTTTAAAATAGAACCTAAATATTTAAGTTTAAAATATTTTTTTTAAGTAGGTAAATCTAACATGATACTAGATTCACAGTTAAATTCAATTACAATTATTTTGAGACAAGTTACAGTATTCCTTGACAATTTTTTTCTAATAAAAACACTTTTAATTGAGTTTTGCAGAATATATTGAAGGAGTATCTTCTGTTTGACTGACGTAGGTGCATTAAGGACAATGAAATTACACAGCTACCTCAAATATTCAGGCATAAAAGGAACATGACTCAACACACTTGTAGGATGCAGGAAGAAATCTGGCGCTGGTTTATATATGGCGCTATCTGAGCTACATTGTTTCTTAGAGATACTAGAATTTGTATACACCCTGTCTTTATTTGACCAAAAATATGTCTCCAGAGAAGCACAGAAATGCTTGCTGTATCTCTTAAGAAGCTTTCACATGAAAGGACCTGGGAGCTCTCTGTCTCTTCTCTGTGGCTTAGACTCACAGGGGCCATAGTCGACTTCCGTGTTATGGGAAGCATATTCAAAATATTATTTTTGCTTTACACGGAAACTCTTCCATGGATATGCAAAATACAGTTGCAGATCCATATTTTAAGCAATCATTTTCTTTCTGAACTTCAATAAACATGCTTGAAGATATTTAATACTTAAGAAACAAACTGTACTTTACCGACAACATTCTCATGACACTTTTTCTCTGAGAAAAAACAGGCATAATACAGACACATTACATGTCAATACTGGAGTCAGGAAGTTAAGTGTGCTGCAATTCCCAGCTTCTAGTGTTAAGTAAGATTACCTTTATAATAATTCAATGTTTTGCAAAGCATAATTTTCAATATTCAGGTGTTTAATTTTAGGGTAATACATTGTAGTGTTTCATTTAAAATAATTGAAAGTTTCAATTTAAAAAAATTACTTACTTGAATAATTCTTAATGGTGAATCAGCTTGATAAAGTTGAAGTCTATGTACATAATGTATCAGCATGTTCAGCATACTGCAGGCAACTTGGGCTACTGTTTTATTTGGAAACTGGAAAAGAGAACACAGCACAGTAACAATGACAAAATTATTTCATGTAAGAGTACATTAGGTTGTAGGGTGGTCACAAATTTCACTGGTGGTTTTACACATATAGTTCCTTAAGTATCTATTTACCAGAGGAACAGAATTAAATTTTACAAAACACAAAAGGAATTACTTTATATTCATAAACAAATGCTAGCAGCCAACACCAAAGTTTTGGGGCAGACATCCAGTGAGATGCACACCAGGAAGGGGAGAGGTGTCTCCTAACTAACTTCAGACTGGTTAGTACAATATCATGAAGCCAGGAAGAAAGAACTAATTTCTTGTTATCTTAATGAATATTAATGAATTACTGCAAAGTCCCCCAAGGATCCAATTCTGAAATCAGAGGTCTTTGCTGAAAATCAAGGCAGGTGAAGAGCCACATGCCCAAAGTGCAGCCTGTAGCACTAAACAGGAGCTGAACTGTTCTGCTATCTGCCAGCGATGGCTGTGCCCAGTGCATGTTGGAATGGAAATGAATTCACCTTGGCTTCTGTGCTTAACTCTGCTTTTCTTTCAAAGGCAGGAGAAGGTTGCTGCTCTGCAGCCTGCCTTCCACAGTTACTGTGCTGGTCAAAGCAGAAGGGAACACATTTGTACAACTAATTCCCAGTCTTAGGGGGGAATGCGCACCCTGTTCGACACTCCTAATTGGAAAAACATAGAAATTAAAAAAAAGGGATGTGTTTTCCTAAATTGGTGATGCACAAGACATGTAATTGAGTTTTTTACCTTCACTGCACTTGCTTTAAAACACTAAAGTGTACAGCAAATGACAAGGACAAAGTTAATATTACAAGTGAACTCCTGCATTATTAAGAATGCAGTTTACTTGTTTCAATCTCACTACATTCAGCAGTGAAGCTGTCACAGGTATGTGCTGCAAGACGGCTCTCTACTTCTGAACTCAGAAAAGGGCAATTATGCTGTAAAAATGCTTAGATGTAATTTCTTGGCTTCATAAGCTTTTTTCTTACTCAGACCACTTTTATTAACCCTTCAGGGAGGGATGCATCTCACAAAACTTAAAAAACCCAAAGCTTTAGGAAAGCTGTAATGTCTGGGCAATGAAGCCTGAGTAGAAAATAAAGATTTTACAGTAAAAGTTCTGAAAGGGAAAAAACTTAAACTGAAAACATACTGGAAGAAGACTCTGTTCTGGGTCTTCTTATCAAAGCCGAGTTATCAATTCTTACATTTAAAGTCGTGAAAATAAATGGTACAAGCATAAGGAAAAGTCTGGAGTATAAAGCTTTAATTACAATTTTTTATTTGTGTTATCTGTGTAAGCAAAAGGAAAGACTATGAATGGCTCTTGCAAGTCATCCAGGGAGATGGAAACCTGAGTACACAATGGGTAGTTAATTCTTGTTCTGACTTTCCCTATTTCTCAGTGGATGCAACTTCATGTTATTATTGACTTTTAGCTCAACACAGTAAACATCTCACATCTCCAAATCTTCACAAACTTTATGACAAGACTATAATTTTTTTTTTTTATCCTTCATGAGACAGTCTCTCTCCATCCATGCTGAGAGCACTCTGTAAGAGCACAATAAGCAGGGTATAGATTCTAATGCTCAAGCTTGAGTAGCAACCAAAAACAAAAAACCAAACCAAACCAAAAAAAACCAAAAAAAAAAAAACCCAAACCAACCCAAACAAACAAACAAAAAAAAAACAAAACAAAAAAAAAACCCAAAAAAAAAAAAAAAACCCAACCCAAAAAAAAAAAAAAAACCCAAACAAAAAAAAAAAAGCCTGAAAGCATGACAATTTGATTACAGTACTTGAGATCAAATCCAGATTGCTCAAAACATCTTAACAAGCTTGCAGGAAAACCCCAAAACCACTGGAGAAGAAAAATGGGGTGCACAAACTGGGGTAGCTTAATACATAGATCCTGAACACTGACAGTAAGAAAAAAATACCTGAGAAAAAAATACCTGCAGACTTTTCAGTGTTACTGAATAATCGACCATTCACTACTTAAAACCAGAAAGCATTCATTTCTTAAATTTTTAATGGTTCTTTTTCTAAAAAGGCTCTGAAATGAAGATGAATTAATAATTTTTTATTATTACTGGCTGGTTTGCAAAAATCAGTTAACCTCTTTATTTCTCTGGTTGAAGATAATTTTTTAAAATTTAATAAATGAACAAAAGTAAGTCGAGACATAAATTCCACATAAAGGATAACGTATATAATGTAATGAATATGAATAAATTTAAAATCTAGTCTTGCACACAATTTTTTTTATTCATGGGAGAAGCAGCAGGGAGGAAGTTTTGATCAAGAACACCAGGGCTGGCTGAAATAGATCAAATCCTTCATGTGCTTCAGAAACACATGTGATAGCATAATCAATATATCACATTTCAAAAGAATGCTGTCGCTAGGGTAGAGTTAATTTCCTCTCAGCAGCTCTTGCAGAGCTGTGTTTTGGATTCGGAGTGAGAATGGTGTTGATAACACAATAATGTTTTGTTTTTTGCTAAGTTCTGTTTATCAGAAGTCAAGGATTTTTTTTTTTTTTCTCGTCTCATGCTGTGTCTGTGAGAAGGTGAGCAAAAGAAACTGGGTGGGAACCTGGCTGGGATGGGTGACCTGAACTGACCAAAGGGATACTCCACACCATAGGACATCATGCCCAGTACATAAACTGGGGGAGTTATCTGGAAAGGGCGTTGGTCTGGGTTGGGAAGAGGATATTGGTCAGCAGGTGGTGAGAAAATGTATTGTGCATCACTTGGGTTTTCTTTCCTTTCTCTTATCATTGCTATCATTTGCCATTATTATGCTGTTTTACTTTGGTTTTGATTATTAAACTGCTGTCATTTCAACATACAAAATTTGTCTTGATTCTCCTTGCCATTCCACTACAGAGGGTGGGAAGAAAGGAGATTGACCAAGTGGCTGCATGATGCTTAACTTCCAGCTGGGCTTAGACCACGATAAACACTCAGGCACCTTAGAACAGACAGTCCTGAGAGCTGTGGGTTCTGGAAGGACATTTTCCTGAACTCAAGCAGCCTCACTGACTACATGTCAGATAATGATCAGATAATGAAACAATTCACCCCTTTCAAGTCAGTTATTCGGTTCTGACTTCTTTTACAAGAACCTTCAGAGGGGGGCATGGAAACACCTGTATGATGCCATAAACATTCCACTGCCATTCTTTGTCTCTGGAAAATGTCCTGTAACATAAAGCATAAGAATTCACCACTTTTATATTTAGTAGCATAAATTGTGGACATAATTTTTGAGAACTCACTTGATGGGGAAAGAAAAAGAAACCAATGAACTGGCATTTTTCCTGCTTCCCAACTCTCAGGGTTTTTCTTGGAAAAGTAGTCTTACCATAAGGTCAATTTTTGCAAGGGTCCATTCTTTCTGGATGTTAAATGAGGAATTTAACCTTGTCCATACTTGAAAATAACCTGTTGTTTAGCACTCATACAACTCAATTTGTACAACACAATTTTGTGATGTATCTGCAGCATTTTTCAGAGAAGCAGAATAAAATCACAGGTCTGGATGGCTGGTTAGATCCTTTGTGCTCAAGATCCAGCAGAGGTTAATGTAGACAGAATGATATTGCCACACAGCTGGGAGAAGCACTAGCTATGTCCAAAGCAAGCTGCTGAACTGCAGCTCTGAATATGCTTCTGGTATTTCAAAAATAAGCATGTAATTGCTGCAAACATTTCTATTCAATGTTATTAGTTCAATTGAACTTATCAGTAAGTTGGACTAGGCCTATAGCTCCCTACCCATTCATTTCTCCTGAAAATAAGAAAATAATCCATCCTGGGAGTTCCAACCTCTGACTACTTGGTAGCCAGGAGATTGCTAAGGTAACAAATTAGAGCTAATTTATTTCTCCCATGACAAATTAATGAACTTTTCATTTCGTTATGAAACTCAATTGTGAATGTATACCATTGCTCAGAACAGAAAAAAAGACAATGTGCATTGGATGGTTTTGCCAACACAAAGAAAAGCAAAGAAGAAATATAAAGATCTTTGTTTTCTCATTCAGAAAGTAATTTATGTTTGATATAAATGAGATACAAATAATTTGTTTAATAAATATGTCAGAGAAAAAGAACATAAATCACTACGAATTTCAGGATTAAAAATAGTTCAAATAATGATAAATTGAAGCAGCAAGATAAAACGTCATTTGCCTTATACCAAACTTGCACAGGAACTTGATAAAATGCAAAAGTTAAGCGTTATTAAAAACCGAGTGGAAAACACTGGAAGAGGGTATTAGTGGAGCTGCAAAGAATGAATGTGATTTTGCAAAACAGGAAATTGCAATTTAGAGTCTAATACTAAAAGCCCTGCAGCTACCTTATACTGAGACTCAAATCCTCCTTCACCAGATGTGAGCAGCTGATCTGCTAAGATATTTTTCATATGCCCATTGCTTAAAAGAAAATAATAATCCCCAACATCCGACAGAAGACATATGTAACAGGTGTACACTCTAATTTTTATTAATCTGTATATAAAGAAAGACTAGACTATTCACAGAATTTTGATGCAAACTAAAAGCACATAGAAAGGTTCTGAAGATAAACTGGAAAGCATTTAAAAAGTTGAAGCTATTGATCACAAACATGCAAATTTGAAAACTGCTTAAAACCAAGATGTTTTTAGTAATATCCTAATTATTCTATAAAATAAGATTTAAAATAGCACGAAAACAAAAGCACTCATCAAAGAAAAAAAAAGCCAAAAAATGCAGCTCCTGGAATAAGCACAGAAAAGGACTCTGCCACAGCAAAATGAAACATTCCTGGTGCTTCCATGCATACAGTATAAGTACTCTGCATTTCTCACTAAATATCTAGCCAGGCCTAAGAGGTAATATTGCATAATTCAATGACTCGAACTCAGAAGTGAACATGCACAGAATGTTGTAAGAATACTGTGGTAGGTTAGAGTGGCTAGTGATTGTGTTAAAATAAAGATCCACTATCTTATTCTCACAGCACATCATTCTCTCCAAACTTAAACAACGGTAAAGAAATGTTGACATTTCAGAGATCCACTCATTAAACTGAATTCTCTCTTTTGTAAGGATGGCAAATGAGACTGCAAAGTAAGGATGCTCAAATGTCATTACGACTTTGAAAATGCAAAGTATCTTTACACAAAAACGCAATATACATAAAAATTTACGTAAAATATGTAATATATGTAAAAATTTAATTCTTTCACCTTTAAAGAAACACATATCACATTCAATGCTTCCTTGATCTGAGGATGATGCGATTCATGGACTAGCTCCTCACAGATCCAAATTCCAAGGCTGCAAAGAGCAACACATCTGTAAAACAATGTTGGAGGACAAGTTGTTGAGAAACATTCTACAGGAATGTGTAATTTTTATGATTCAATAAGTTTTGATAAAGATGTAACAACAAATATGTTTTTAGTATTTCCAAAACAACTGCACAAAAATCTTTCTAGTGCTGTAACTTATTTAAAAATTACCAAGAAATCCAAGGTATGCTGGTGAAGGCAGAGGAAAGGGCAGAGGAAGCACCCATCTGAGCAATGAAAAAATCCAAAAGACATCAAGAACTCCTGCATTTCTGTGTGTGTTTTGATTAAAAATATTACCTGAAATCAACATGTGCGAAATTCTTATATTTTCTTAAGACAAAGCAAAAATTGGGGTGGAAGCTTCCTCTTTCCTAACACAAGAGGTTGCTCATATTTAGAGCTTCTGAGACACAGAGATGAGAGAGGAATATTACTCTCTCATAGACATTCTCATTGTTTTAGATGGACAATAAACAAGGATGAATAGAGGAGGAGTAAATGAATCCTAGAGACTGTATACATAGCATGATTAGTACATTAACTTTTGTTGTTTCTTCATGTTATTTCTTCTTCATAGAAATAGAAAAGAAGTGTAAAGGTAAAGAGTATTTAGATAAATGTGTTCAAATCAGCAGATGGATGAAATTTGTTCAGAAATGTTAAGGAGCTAGCTTAAGCCATCTCTGACCCATTAGTTATTTTCTTCAGGAACACAGTCTACAAATATTTTGGAAACAACTTCAGAATTCAAAATCCTGGATAAAATTGGAGAGCAAGCCAAAACTGACAACAAGAAAGCTGGTCATGTGACCTGCAATGCATTACATCTGGGGAGGAAAAACTGTAGGCAAGAGAAGAAACTGAAGCAGCTATGAAGCCTGTGCTGTAGAAAAGGGATTTTAAGGCTACACAGAATCACAAAAAAATGCTTACAGACTGCAAAAATACATACAAGACTTAATTGCACATTATAGTGTAAAACCACCCTATTTTGTACATTGTCACTGAAAGAAAAATTGCAAAGTGGAGAGTGTTATGCCTTTTAGAAAGCAGTTTTGTAACACAAAAAATTAAATTAATGTGATCTCAGGATACTCCCTCTTTTTCCTGTGTTGAGAAATATTATCAGCTCACATGAAGAAAGAGGTAAGTGGGCTGATGAAAACTGCTCTTGGTTTTCAAAAACACTGTTTAAAGGTTCAATATGTGGATTTTTCCAGAACTGTACCTTTTCAGGTACGTACTTCTAGTATTTTTAAATGACAATATATTAGTTGGACATATATATTCACTCTTTCTAAATATATAAGGCACACAAATGCACTCCTCCTTGGTTGGCGTTAGAGATTCCTGTTCCAATCCCATATACACGACTGTAACTCAATACTTCTGAAGATGGGTACAGAGGAATAAAATCCTAATCAAATTAAGAAACAGAAGAGGAAACTGGTAATAATCCTCTCCAGAGTTGTTTATTTGATGAAAATGCTTAGGTTTAAGCATCAGAACAACCATTCCTAGTTTAATGCTTAGCTCAGTTTTTTTCTGCTTCTTGTCCATACCATCGTAAGGGCTCACGTATACTGGATTAATCCTGTTTTTCAAATTAAATAATGTGGTCTAATAAAAAAACCCCAAAAACTACCCCTCCCTCATAAATGATCTTGTCCTAATCAAAGTAAAGAATACCTCTCTAGTCCAGAAAACCCCCGAGCTGAATACCAGAGTAGGCTAGGAAAGCTTATTCTGTTACCTTTATTTACAACCTTTCCTATCAGCCACTATCACAGAAAGAATACTGGACTAGACCAGCCCAGTTTGTTCATTTAATATCTCTAGTACAAACAATTTCAAATTCACATAATGGACCACAGTTTTGACAGTGGTGAAGAAAACCATTAATAAAATGCAACAAACTTTTACTTTAAGATCTCCAATATATTCACCTCAAAACAGTCTAATAAAGAAAAGAATCTATTAATGTAGAAGGTCTTTTTGTATGGCCTACCGTGCAGGACCAGATGGCTCCTCTCTTGCCGAGCTCAACACAGTTTTAATTATGAGTTCCTAAAATGAAGAGGAAATACTCACTGATTTACATGTAATTCCATCACAGAAAGCATCAAAATATTATTACAGTGCACACAGGCATGTTGCTTAGCTGAGTCTCTATGTTGCAGTCAGATGAATTGTTTGCTTACCACTACCCCAAACATCTAGCCTGTCCAAGATACTTGTTACTGTGCCACCCCAAGAATCCTACACATTACTGTCCTAATTTCTGCTGATGAGCCATGTATCCAATTCTTGTCAAAGCATTTCTATGAAATATCAAGGGTAAAAAAGAAATAGTAAAGGACTCCCCCTGAAGCTATCTTGAGTAGTGCTAAAGGGTACGACGGAAAGAATCTTTTAAGGTTTACACAAGCATTTTTTAAAAGTTTAATTGATTTTAAAAGTATTTTCAACTGGTTGCTAAGTGCCTACAGTGCCTTAAGACTGCCATCAAGAAGAACTGTGACTCAATGACAGTGAAATGTCCCGAAAACTGTAGGCTGCCCTTAATATAATTCATGTAAACAGCCATTCTACAATAGAAATGTGAAAGAAGGAACTCAACATCAATCTCTAAATGGGAGCAAGGTGTAAAGCCGCTCTCAAATCATCATTTCTCCCTAAACTGAAACAGTTTGGAAAATTTTAGGCGAGCCTTTCTTAGACACACAAACTGAGCTCTGTGCAGTTTCAGTATACTGTCACACTACCTAACTGTCATGATAGACAAGGTAAGGACTCCATTAATATTTCCCTTTTGAAGAAAAGGGGAAACGCACAAACGCACTGCTGTACAGAAATTTTTTAAAGCCTAGGAACACAGGCAGATTTCACCAGTTGTGAAATAAATAGAATTGTCTTAATAAATTAAATAATGAATCTTAAACCTCTCAACCTTCTTGTCTCAGCTAATTAAATCTGTGGTACCTGCACATCACCCTAGTGAGAGGAGGCTTGAAAGAGTGAGATAATGTATCATTTCCTTCTACAAGCATAATTATTAAGTTAATAGCTATTATAACTTGTGTTTAGAAGTATAAAGTTTGACAAGACTTCATGGGATCTTGGGTCTTACAATCTATTTGAAATTACTTTCAAAAAATTTTAGGATCTTAAAATCTTAATATTTTCTGCAAAAGCACAATATTAGGCATGTATTTGGTTAACAGAATACCAGCCAAATATTCTTAGAAGTCCTACCTTAACATCTGTAAACTGAGACACAGCAATGTCAGGAATATTTGGGTGAAGAGCGGGTAGTTCACGATATAAATTGGGAAAACAGACTAGAGATCCTAAAAGAACCTGTGCTTCAACTCTGGGTGCCTGAAAAGAAAAAAAAAAGGGGGGGAGAGAAATATATGTTCTTATTGCAATCAGAAAGCTGACATTTTTAGCTTCCTTAAAATAGAATGATGGCTGAAATTGTATATAGCCATTTCCCTTCTCCTGGAAATTGTGAGCTCCTGCAAATCTGAGTAAACAGAGACCTCAGCTCCTTGGATTGTTCCTCATGCACGCACACCCATGCTCTCATCTTCCAAGACAGTAAAAAGGAGGCAGAAGGATTGTTAATACTACAGACAAATTAATGAGCTGCTAACTGGGCTCAGGTCTTAGGTTCAGCTAATTGACCAGGACGTGGAAAACTACTAAATGTGACATGAGGCATTGCTGAACAGGAAAGGCTAGAGTGTAAGAAGCTGACAGAGGCTTCAGATAAGTACCTTGAGGAAGACTGGATTTCACAACTGGTTAGAGAGGGATTGATGGGAGAAACAGTCAAAATTCACAGTTGGAGGAGACTATGGGAGATTTGAGAGAGTACAGTATGCACAGCCAACACCACCTAGGTAATCACATCAGTATTACTATATAAGGCTGAACTTGCCTGAGTAACAAAATCAGAAATGTGAAAAAAAATCAAAATAGTGCAAACACTAGCACTTTTGAGTTCTCAAGCCCGATCATAAAAGTCATTCCATAGCAGAGATATGGGGGGGAAAAGTACATTTTTAAAATGAAATCATACTAAAAATAGACATTTACTTTAAAACATCTTCAAGCACAGAAAAATGGCAGTCACAATTTTGTAACTCTAAAATAAGACTCTCTGCTTCAACAGTAATTTTTGCATTCTTCATATATTTTCTGAAGAGGCATGTGTAGTGCTCTAGAATAAATCATTAACATTATCTGTATTTGATAAACACTACATTGAATTCTGGGATCAATTTAACACCCTAGTAAAAGAAAAATATACTGCTCAGTATTCTCTCAAATTTTCTCACCCATAAATGATGAATACTTACATTGAGGAAAGAAGAAGCAGCCACTCTTCCTGCTGCTACAATGAAATCCATAATAAGCATGGTAGCACCAGGTAAACCAAGTGAAAAGAACTGAGGAGAACAGTGCTTGATGATTGTATTGACAATATCCTCGCAGAAGGAAAAGGGAAAAAAGGAAGAGTATCAACACAAATCAAATGAAAAATGAAAGAAAAAAGGCATGTATTTATCAAAAGTAGAAAGTAAAAATGTGAGAAAGAAAACTCATTGTGGCCAGTAGGACACTCATTAATGAGAGAAGAGTAGCACAAAAAGATAAATTCCTTAACTACACTCATATTAACATAAGTAAACTTGGTATACTTTATAGATCAATTTAAGCTTGGACAATAGTTCATTTATTAATTTACAGTCAGCTTTAAAGAGTTCTGTAACTGATTAACCATTCATTTCATTAGGTACAGAAAAGATATAGAAAGATAACCAGGTATTATACCTTAAGAACTGCTTAATCCTCTCCATCAAGTATTGTCTGACTATAGCTTTAAAAAAGGTATTAGCCTCTTACATATACCCATATAGAACCAAAATTTGAAGGAAGATAATAAAGTGTTTTGTAACATTTCTGGTATGTAGTTAATCAGCACAGCATATTATGTTCTTGTGGACTTGGTGAGGCACTTTTAAAAATCATTGTATGTGTTGCAATTTTTTCCAAAAGTACTTGAAAAAAGTACAAAATGCTTTAATTGTAAAAAAACATCCCAAGTCTACAGACAGACACCCCTCCCCTTCTGTCTCCACTAGTAGTAATATCCAACTAAATAGCAGTATGTCATAGGAGGATTTCAATCCAGCAAGAAAAGCAGCATTAATGGTTGTTAGAGGACAGAAACTGGAGGCCTCTCCTATTCATAGTCATCTATGGAATAATTTTGGACTAATTCTTTTCTTCCCAGTTAAAGAAAACAGGGTTGTTGCTTGAACCTTTGATCTACCCATGCCTATAATCATTCCTCAAAAATGTTCACAAACCAAACTTTTTTTACACTTCTGCAAACCTTTAAAAAGTATTTAAATACAATATTTTCAGACTTCTTAATATCAAAACCTACAAAAAAGGTCTACTCCCACTGATTAGATACGCTCAGTACATCTCAGTTTGCTGGTTCCTATACTTGCTGTAGAAACAAAGTCCTCCAATGTAGTGAGCACAATTTACTAGCTAAACTGTTGCATCAGGGAGCAAGTAAGAAGAACAGTAGACTTTAGAGAGATCTGCTTCCTTCTCTTTCTTGAATACTTCAATCTGTAACATACAATTAATAAAGAATGAGGGAGTACCTTTTCTGCCCTCATATTTGCTTGAAACGGACTACAAAAAAGCATTTCTGAATACAACCAAGAGCACGAGGATCATTTATCAAAGTTTTCTTTTTAGAAAAAGTACCAGTCACAGCACTAATTTCCAAAACAAAGTTAAATTACTCAGATGAAAATTGAATATTTTTGAGGAGAGAATTTTATTTTCAGTCAAAACACTTATATTATCTTGAATTTAATAATTAACTTACTTGATCAACATGAAGAAGTCCACAGTGCATTATATTGTAGAAATGAGTTAAAAAATCCCTGTTTGGAGAAACATCTTGTCTTCGTTTCATTGTCTTACAAATAAGCTTATAAGCATGTAGCTTTCCTTGTTTGTATTTATCAGTCAGCATTGTTGCCTAGTTTAGAACAATATTTATTATTCATAAATAAAAAAATTACATTAAACACTCTTCTACACTTATGTTAACTTTTATTTCTGTTTCATATTTTAGTGCTCAAATTTACCTTGAAGAGCCATGGTGTTAGAATTCTCAGTGGTGGAATTAAAACTGGGGGAGATGGTGAAGTTAGGTTGTCTGTTGAAATACCAAGATTGTCTCTTATCTGCAATTATTAAAAACAAAACAGAAAAAGAATTATTTATGGGAAATATATCAGGTGGTGTTTTTTTCTTTTTGAAAATCCTACCCAAGCAGGTCAGGTTGGAGAAAAGGTTCAGTTCCTTTACCTTGGCCAGATTCTGCCACAGTTCACATAGATAATCAAAAACCTGGGCATGAATCTCTGGATCCATTATGCTGTTGACATCTCCCAGAATTCCTAGCATCCTCCTCCACATCACAGTAGCAACATCTGCGTGCCATCCTGTAAGTGTTCCCCCAGCCATCACACTGCAACATTCTGAGGGGAATTCACTAGTTTCTGTAATGGAAGAAAAAAAAGTATAGTGAGATCTACCTCTCCAGAGCTGGAAAAGTTCTGATACAACTATTAAATATACACTCCTCATAAAACTGAATGATTGGGTTTTCAGAATAAGCTATTTTCTACCCATTCAGCCACCTCAACACTGTATATATTAAGCTTTGTCTATAATAAACTCTTTAGAGGAAGAACTGTCCTGTTTCTTATATTCTTCCATGAAATAACATTTAAGGTCACTGCTGGAGCTCTAATACAGATCTGATGGACCTAGTAAGGCCACTCCTCTTGTAAGTATTTTCTTACATTCCTTGAAGTCAATGAATCTCCAGAACCCCACCTGGCTGCTTTCAAGTAAAATTATCTTTCAACTTTACATTTTTCCTAATAATACATAAAAACTATTTTTTTCAGAATCTACTAGGAAAGCATGTTATTGCAAGTTGAAGTGTGACTAAACTTGTCTCTAGCTATTGTCTTTTAAACAGTTAATTTGTATGAGTGGAGAGGGAACATTCAGTAACCTAGCAGCACAGTCTTAACACACAGCTAGCTCTTTCTGCACATCAGTGCTACATGAAAAACCATTCTTTTTAAAGTGGAAGATGATTAATCTAGACTGTCCATATAAAGAAACCTTCAATAGATTATGATGGCTCAAGTCTACTCAGGTCACGCTTAACTACCTAAACAGCCACAAAATACTAGAAAATGAGCCAGCTTGAGAGCAGCAGGCATTCAGAATTGTCTTTCCGCCCCCTCAGGTGGATAATTCGTTGGGTTCTTCTGAAACTTTTGTAGCCCCTACAGGCACACCAAATCAAAATTAAATCTGAATCCAGCCTAATCACATAGCCTCTTCTTTTGAACTTCTGGGCCACTGTGGTAGAGACACTATTGGTTTCTAGGCTGTAGATTTTGAAGTACAAAGCAAAATGATCTTTCTGTCCATCAGTAGGCTACTTAAAGAAATAGGATCTGAAATACATGGCAGACACTCTTTTGTTTCAATGAGACCAAATGTGGGAGAAATATTCATATCGCATTTACAAAGAAAATGTATCTTAGAATTCCATAGCTATGATAGTTGATGTAATTACAAATTAGTTTAGATAAGAAAGGGAAATGAACCAAACTTGCAAGGAGAAATGATAAGATTATGAAATTATATCTTATTATTTGTTCATCAATGATAAAACAGTCCATGGCAGGACCACATGCTAGATTCAGTTGCCACAATTCTAAGCAACTAAAAGAACAATTTTAATATGTGAACTATTAATCCACCGCCAAAAAGTCCAATGAAATACAGGTTAAAATGCAAAAGGTTTTTGTTTACTTTTAAAAGCAATCACTGTAATTAAATATTTTTGAAGTGCAGATGAAATAGCCTTGTACAGGATTGTTTACAACTCATGTGATACTAGCTACTTCACTACATTGCATTAGAAAAAAGAAAGAAAGAAAGAACAAGTTTGTATTTTCTATTCCAGATATTGCCTAGGTCATCTGGCGTCTGCAAAACAGAGTGGTGGAGCTTCTCATCCAGTTGCAGATCCTTCTGCTCAATATGATCTGCATGCAGGGTGGCAGGAGAGGGTGTCTGTGATCGGGATCCAAGAGCTGATTGGATTGGAGAAGCACTTTCAGAGCCTGCAAATGTAATTTTTAACAGTTACCTTAAAAGCCTTTTCTATTTTCTTGAGCTATTGATATGTTGTCTAAATACAGTGTTAACAGAGAACTGAGCTGCTTTTATGTATCAAATTGGGCCAAGAAAAGTAAAAAACAGTAAGCAGATCTTCCTGTGAGTGGTGTTCTGAAAGAAAACAAAGTACATGCAGAAAAACTGAAAGATGAACATCAAAATCAGACAGGTAAGTGGACTAGCAGACCTCTATTTTAGGTCCAAATAATTCTAAATGTGGTTGTTTTGCATCACTTTCAGTGTTTTGAACCAGCTAAATTTCTCATCACATTCCCTCACCTAAATTTCTCTCTAGTAGAAAGTTTAAGCAAAAATTTTCCTGGAACAAATGTTTTTCCAGGGTTATAGATGCATGCAAGTTAATATATAAATAAAACCTCAAATCAGTAACTGATAATCTTCAGTGTTTATCTACTGATCGAGCTGAGAAAATCCACAGGATGGGAAAGTTCTGTATAGTCAGAGGGGTGTTATTTCCTGTAAAACAGGAAATCACAAGTGTCTGAATGATAGTGCTACAAAGGCATTTTTCTGTAATTGTCTCTGAGCAACCTGTCTACACAATGATGTGGTCTCCACTGTGTGATCTATGGAGAAGGAGCAAGTAGTTGTATTTTTCTTCTGTACTATCTTATGTTTCACATCCTGAATTTGTCTAAAGATCCTTATAAATAGCTGAGTTCAGCCAGAACAGTCACATGGCAGACAAAGAGAATGAATATTCACGACAGACTTTTCTACACATCAGCATATGTTAAAATGGAAGAATTCCTATTAATTTTAATAGATAAATGTAACAGAGACACAAAAATATTATGTGTAAAGTTCAGTATTAGTGATCAAGTGAACTTTAGGGACAGCAATTGAAAAGTGAGTCTTTTAAATAGTAATTTTCCCAAATTATTGTGAGAATAACTGAAGAAAATTTCTCATTTGAGAAAAGTGCTCTTTTTTATAAAGAGAACAAATTGTTTAAAGAACTTAACAGAAAATGTTATCACTATTATCAGAATAGAAATTGCAGAAAACAATCTTTATTATGTTGTTAAACTGCAAAGGTCTCTATCTCGTTTAAATGGCTAAGACAATGAAGCTTTTACTATCAATTTAAATCAACACCTCTATGCAGGATAGAGGGACACTACTGCTTCACACACACACTGCTGTCTCATGCGACTTGCTACTGACCAGCAGTTTTCCACATGCTTACAGAGATAAACTAAAATACACCCTTCAAAGATGCTCAAAGAAGTATTTTCTTACTTCATTTCCATCCTGCTCATTAGTTGGGGACAGATGAAAGTAGTTAAAAAAAGGAGCAAGAAAGAGTGATGAGGACGAGAGAAACTGAGAGAGAGTGGGATAGAAGGGAAAGAAAGTGAATGAGATGGAAAGAAAGAGAAGGCAAGGAAGGCAGGGAGCAGAGGAAGGAGGGAAAAGAATGGACAGAATCAATTATGGAAAATTTACAGAACTACAGGAGTCTGTCATTAAAAGATACTCCAGCATACGTGGATCCGACTTTGACTGGGACTTCCACAGGTACAACTTGTCCTAGGACTAGTAAACAGCAGACAAGAGTCAACTTTATCATTTACTTGGAATATGATGTATTATCATATGTATATGAATGCTCATATACCAAAACTGTATTATCCTTCCAAAACTCTTCAGATTCAGGAAGAGTAGTTTTCTGATCAGCAGAACCACTGAAAACTTATTTATTATAAGTGCGTTTTGAGGCTGAGTTTCTACATTCATTTGCTGGCATCTAATATAGTGAAATTCACATTGCAGCTTCCATCATGACAGTCTGTGTGCACGCAATTTTCACTAGATAGGTGCCTACCTTTCATAAAACATCAAGAAAATAACATCCTTTTGATTTCTTATATGTCAATTTAGCAAAAATTAGACAATAGGCTGCAATATTGTTGGGTGCATGGAACAGTCAGAGATAGACAAAACAATTGCACAAGTATTGTTTCCTCAGGAAACCCAGCTAAAGGCATGTGACACACAAGAGCTGCCTCTCTAAAACAGTGGTTCAAGCAAGAAGAGTTAACCACAGAATCTCTCAGTAGACAACTCAGTCATTAACTGCAATCTTATCAATTAAATTATAGTGCACACTTGGACAAAAATAACAAACAGTAATGAAGTCATTAACATATAAAAACATACAAACAGAAAAAGAACAGATCTACAGCAAAGACTTTCAACAAGCACACAGCAAATAGAAAGATGAAGAGAACATAAGTCAAGCTGAACATTGTGGAACAAGCTGAACAACAATGTCCATGAAAGCCAGTACCATGGTTCTTTCAGCAGAAGGGCACTTTTTAAAAGTTATGGCAGAGGAAGTAAAGATGTCTTTCCATATCTCTGAAAATGCAGAGTTTGATTTCTAACAGAGAACAAGACACAATATGTAGGTATAAGCTTTCATAGAAATATAGATAATTGTTGCAACTTGTTACTTGTTACAACTAGGGTTGCAACAGGAATGGTAGTGTATAAGAGCTATGGAACAAGGAGTATGAAAATGACTATGGGCATCTTTACTTCTCATGTACAAAATCTAGTAAGAGATCATTCTTTCAGATCATCCTCATAGAGAAGCATTCTCTCTTTCACACAGGAGCCCATTCAAATTTGGTTAACTGCATCACTTTTCAGTTATACAAATACAAAGTGATGTTACATGGCTAAATAAGTTACATTTTGCATAATAAAGCCTCTCAGTTACACAACAGACAATACAAAGAGATATTAAGATGGATGCATATAAAAGAATCTCAAGATACTTCAATATGATACCATGTTTAAAGGAGCACTGTGAAAACCTTCCAAAGCAAAAACAATTCATGAAAATTAATTATTTAACTACCAGTAACAGAAGGACATTTGTAAGAGATCTAGCATACATTATGTTGTAAGAGTTTCTTCTTGGTAATTACAGATTTTCTTATGAAGGGTTTAAAGTACATTTAGGACCATGGATAACTAAGTCAGACAAAGGTTTTCCACTAATGTTATTTCACATATTACTTTTCAATAGCAGTCAAAAAATAATTGAAATAAGGGAATAATCTTAAACAGAATATAGACTCTTGGCAGAAGCTGGAAGTTGCATTCTTCAGGATGGGTGAAAAATTTCTGAAATAAATACTTTTTTTTAAAAAATCTACTTTACCAGTAATAGTGGCAGCTTCAGCAGACAATGGTTGCTGATTGAGACTACTTGTTTCTGAATCTATGTGGAGTGTAGTTAGACTGGCCACTTCTTGTTCCTCGGCACTTTGTTGCTGTCCTGAAATTGCATCAACGTCAGTAGAAGCTGGTGTCCCTGCCTCAGTGCCAAAGTTGAAATCTGTATGAGGAAAGCAGTGTATTAACTTACAGCATAAAAATACCACTAATATGAAAAAACCCCAGGACCGCCAAACTAAACAGAAACCTTGAATGTGCATGGTCTATGCTACTAGCACACTGTTGCAAAATTTAAATAAAATACAACAGCAGAAAGTATTGACTATTAAGAATATTCTCTTTCCTGTCATAAACCCATGAATTGGTGTCTGCAGAAGACATTCTTGTTGCCCGTCTGTATTCTGCTTCGTTGTTGTAAGTGCATCTGCATCTGAATAACGCAAAAATAATGCAATCATACATTAAGGAATTTATTTGTAAAATTTACAAGCTGGAAGAAATATTCAAGTTTATTGTGAAAGCACTAACATCAAACTGAAAATTTTACAGCAAATGACACCAACAGATGCTGTCCTCAACATTAACGAAAAAACTGTCAGGCTGAAATGTAGGTTTAAATGCCATGACTATTTGCATAATGAAGACATATATAAAAATTGTAATTTCTTCCAAAAATTCTATGTAAATATTATTTTTATCTTATATATATGTGATATCATAATTCCTACCAGCCATAATGACCCCTTCTGTTAAACAAGAGTGGGAATAGATAAATAAAATGAATGAAAAGCATTATGTTATTAAACAAAGCACACTAATTTTAACAAAACACACTAACTGTACCATATTACACTTAATATCTTGATTAACCTCTAGCTACACAAAGACCACTGTAAAAATATCAGAAGCCATTCTTCAAGTTTTACCTAATCACTTTCCAAAAGAATTAAAATAATTTCCAAAATAAATAACCTTTAATTTTTATATTTTGTGCAAAACAGATAGATACGCTCCACAGAGGTTACAATATTTCTTTCTAACTCCTGGTCAATTATGTTCTCCTCTTTGCGTAGTAGTACTCCAGTGCTCTTTTGTTTTGGTATAACTAAAAAAACAATAGCCTCTTGTAAGAACCTTCCTTGTTCCATTAACTTGCTAATGATTTCAATGGAAAATCAAAATAATCTCTCTCGACAGAAAACCGCTGGCATACAACTTTATCCGGGGGGAAAAAATAAAACAGCAGATAAAACAAAGGAAATCTGCACTACATTAATCAAAAATGCTATTACTTTTGGAAAAATGTACTTGCTTTCAAATTTGCGGCTCTCATACTGGAAGGCGCTGAAGGAGTCGGAGTGGCTGTCTGAGCTGATGAGGTCACTGCTGCCCGCGCTGGCAGGCGATGTCCACTCGGAAGGCACACCTGGGTCATCCACAGGACGCATCTGGTTCTGCTTGTTCAATATATCAGGAAGGTCTTTAGGAACTTCCAGGCTGCCAGGGCTGCTTCCTCTTCTTGTCACATTCTAAACATTGAAGATACATAATTATCTTACAATCTTGGGTGGTTTATTTACATAAAATGGAAAAAACAGTCCCACATTTGGTGAAATCAGAATGTAACAAACCGTTCTTAAGTACCTAAACCAGAAATTGCTATCATTCTAAATACCAAGACTTTCCAAACCCCAAATGAAGAACCTATGTAGCCACAGAATTTCATAAATACAAATTTTATCTGCACAGTGGATTTTTGGACACATATTGTAAAAGTCTGAGACTCAGAGCAGCATGGGCCACATGGTAGGTAAGACATGAGAGAGCAAAATAGTTAAAAAGTACATTACATCTAAATAACTAAAGAAAACTTGCAAATCATGATTTCAGACCCAATGGCCTATAGGCCACCACACTATAATCAAAAACTTAATTTATAGAAGGAGCAAATTAATTTATTAATTCTTGCATTGATCATCTTATGATTAAAATACCACACCAGTACTGGTTTGGAACACAAAAGACTACATATAACAGAAGTAAGGCATGCAGATTTGCTCATTTACAAGTAAGGTGGTGGCCTATTTGAAGTCTTTCTTTAAGGCTTTTTTTTTCCACAGACAGCACAGTTTGCTTGAGAAAGAGATATCGAAGTAGAAATGCCGTTTTATGAAATGGCTTGAAATTTGTATGCATTATGAGACTAAAGATGCCTTCCTTTTACAGCAGGCCCAGTCAGTTCTGCATTCTTTTACTACTCTACTACTAATTTTAGGATAACTCAGACTAATAAGCTTTTCATGATATGGTTTTAGCATTCAATTGATAAAGAAATCTAAAATTAATCTTAGTAAGTTGGTACTATTTTAAGGAGGCATGTCTGTTGTGTGCTAACTGAAAAAAATGAGCAATAGTTTTGGTAGTTTCAGTATTTACTCAAACTTATCTCAGCTCTTTTCTGCTACCTGAGGAAAGTATTACTTCTCCAAACAAAGAGTAATCCTTCCCTTTCTTCTGGAACCAGATGTGATGATTTCTGGTTTATTAATTTTCAGACTAAGTTAACCTTTTTCACAGACTACAAGTTAGCATTTTGTTGTGCAACTCAAGACTTACTAACAAGAATACTTTGTGCCAACAATCAAGTTTTATAAGCATGAGTTCAACACAAAAGAGAAAAAAAATATACATATGGACAAACTCCATATTATAAAAGATGATGAAAAATAATCTTTTAATAACTTTGAAGAATCTTCTTCTGTCCCTTCTTGTCACCAACTTCTCTACTGACAATTTTCTATAGGAATATGTCTTACAGGAGCATGTCTTCAAATGACCTTGAAAACTTTAAAGAAAAAGGAACTAAACCATTTTGAAACAGTATCTTTAAATTGTTACCCTTTCTGTTCTTAACTTGCAACTTTTTTTTTTAGTATTTTCCCTTTTTTATTACTTAATAAGCACTTAATTCTTCAAATCAGTTGTCTCCTTCTGTAAGCACTCAACAGTAACCAGAAATTCTTAATTTAAAATTGATTAAAACTTATTATGAATGCCATTCCAAACAACATGATGCTTTTGGAAAAGTGTAAGAAGGCAGCAAATGGAAAGCTGATTTGATTAGAAGAGCACTATTTACAAGAAATTATTCAACACTTGGAAGTGAAATACAAAAATAAAGAAAAATATATATTTGAACAGTTTTGTGGTCTGTTGCATTGACTATACCTATAGAGAACAGTACTGTACTACAGCATGTTACTCAATTACATGCCATGCTGAGGACTGTAAATTTACATTTAAACTAGCATTCCGAAAATGTCTATGTACAGGCAGGCATCTTTGCAGGTGCAATTTAGGCTGCTTCATTCAATGAGACTATTCATCTGACACTAACTTCTACATTGCTTCCACGATGAAGATTCAACAGATATGAAAACACAAATTATATACAATGATAAGAATCTATGCCAAAGGCAAGGAATAATTAAGCAATATTCTTAATTCTTCATAAAAGCCACAGAAATTCTTTTTAGTGAACTGATTTATCATGTCATTGACAAGTTCACACATATACGGAGACTTAAGTATTGAAGTGTAGCAAGTTTAAAGGCTTACCAGTGCATTACCACTGCGGAGTCTCTCAGCTATAAATTCATCCATGAGGTCAGGAACATTTGTATTGCTACTGCCAATATCACTATCAATAGGGTGCAGCTTTTGACTCATGTCCTCTCTATTAGCTAAAAGCAAATGAACAACCATTTATAGTAAAGAACACATCAAGACATTTTCAAAACAAAATGTAACAAATGAAAAAAAACTGCTAGTTAACAGAAATTCAAAAATCAAAATTGCCAAACATGCATTTGAAGAATGTCCCTCTTTTAAAGCAGATTCTACTTTCAGAATTAGTATGGCTTCTTCTTCCCACTAAGCAGGGGTTAGTTGATTTCCAATTCCACCTTTAAGAGCAGGAAGCTTATAGGTAAGCACTACTCAAAGTTGTTAATGCTTGTTTTAAGGATAAAGCATATGTTCTTCCTCCATATCACAAGTAAGTAACAAATTCTAAAAAAATTACGATTTCTTCAGGCTCCTTCTTCATTGCATTCCTAATGAAAAGCCATATAGTGAAAAAAGTAAACTAGGTTGTAATAGATACTAATGACAAATGGCAATGTGGCACTGTATACAGTTAGTATGAATAGTGCAAACAAAATGTTACAGAATAAAATTACATGCTAATACATGGAATGAAAGTTCTAACTCTAGATGATCAATGGTTATGAGCAATTAATGAAGTTCACATTATTTACATATTTAGCTGTGGCTGTTACACCTGACTTTATGATATCAGCCTTTAAAATCTTCAAGTTATTCCAGTTCATGTTCTCTTTATACAATTTTTTCCCTCAGTGTCATCTCTCATGAGACCACAGTGCAGTTTATTCTAACAATGAGTTTCTGTTAAATGTTGGATTTTAAATAACAAGTACTTCTAAAATTGGTGCTTCCTAAATATGACTTTTTCAGAAGTCTAATTTCTGAAGAGCAGCAAATAATTTTTATGACAGTACTGCTCTCAGGTGCTGTGCTTACAGAGACTGCCCTCAGGTGGCATTAACATAATGATGCAGGATACATTGCAGAATCCTCTGTTAATCATGCCAGCATAACAATGGGAAAAAAAGAAAACCTGCATTACTGCTGAAAGTTAATTTATTGTTCATTTATGGTTATTGTTCATTTATGGGAACTAAGACAATGTATATTAGAGTTGCAGCCTTCTTTTTTGATCAGTCCACAGAGGTCTCATAATTAGCAGGTGAAAGACTATCACAAGACCTTTACAAACATCCAAGATTCCAAGAAAAAAAGAAAGTAATGGAAGATGTTGCCAAGATTTAACTGCAGCCATTTGGATGAATGAATATAGGAAGGCCTATGACATGTTTTGAAACAGACTCAAACAAAACCTTATGATTAGACTCAGAGAACTGTTGTAATGAAATCATTCCAGTAATAGCAAATTGCTATTTCAGACTATTAAAAAAAATATCTAAAATTACCTCCAAATGTAAATTTGAGGGGCTTTTTTTTGGTTTTGTTTTGGAGGAGGAAAAGGAGGAAGAGGATGAGGAGGAAGAAGAAAACACACTAAATGAACCAGAAATACAATTAGTTCAACCTAGTTGGTTGGGAGCCAGGTCCTTCTGACAAATGAAAACTACACTCAGAGTGGAATAACATATTCTGATAAAATATGCATTGCCAATACTTCAGTAGGCTTAATTTGAAGGCTCTGCAATGTAGATAAAAATTCAAAAGTCTCAAGGCTTAATCCTTTATTAGGTCATTTACTGTCTCTTCCTCTTCCCTAATCTGATGATCTTCAGCAGAAAAGAGGTTCAACTAAATATCTTGAAAAGGAAAATTAGTAATTTAAAGTACGTAAATGTAACTTATGCTGGGAGAAAAATCAGCTGGCTATAGGCGCATGCATAACCAAACAGGGAAAGCAGTGATCATCCCAAAGCCTTTTGATTGCTTATCAGAGCTTGCTTCACTTGCATTAAGCCAAACTGGTGCTGCCTTTCTCCTTTTGCGCTCTGCACACTGTTAGTGCTCACCTGCAGCTTTCCTTCCAAAATAGCCCATTACATGACTGTACAGATCCCTCAGTGGAGCCTCTGCTGGCATTCTGTTCTGCCTCTGTGGGGAAACATTTGCCTTCGGCTTCGAAAGAGCATGGACAACAGTTTTATAAACACCACCCAGGGAGCCCTGCTGTTGTGCCGACTCCTGACCTGATGTTCTAAAGGCACTACGACATTGGAACTGACTAATGGCAAGACCTTCTTTCTGCAACACAGCTGCTTGAGTTTCTGCAGATTCCTTAACTTGCTTGCTGCCAGCTGAAGCAGTGTTGACTGCCTCTAGATGCCTATATATTCCAGGTCTAACCAGCTCTGTGGCAGCTGATGAGCTACTGCTTGCACTGGTACTGCTGTTGCTGCTACCACTACTGCTGCTACTGAAGCCACCAAGTTTACGAAGTCTTGCTTTCCAAGCAGCCTCTTTGTTCTCAAGAGGATTGTAAAACTGAACCGATTCTGTAGATGGCCTAAAAGTAACATGAACGCTGTTTCTTTTTTTAGTTGTTATTTTCATGATTTTGGCCCTATGAGTTACAGTTTCAGATATACTTCTTTTAGCTGGTGCCAGTTTGCTTGTGCCTGTGATGTGAGGCATTTGAGGATCAACTTGTGCTTTAGGAAGAATTTTCTTTGCGTGGACAATACGCGAGTTGGTCACTTTCTCATTAAACTGGACACTTTTATGCTTTTCAGCTACCGGTGCTTCCACAACTAAATCTACATCAGTTTCAGTGGCTGCTTGCCTATATAGATATCTCTTCCCTTCTTTGCTGCTAGGACTACTGGACCCATGATCAAACACGCTTTCATATTGTTTATCAATATCTAACTGTCTGGCTTTATTGAGCGCTTGATTTTTTGTAAAAAAGTCTACTTGAGTAGGTGCAATACTACTCATAAAGCCACTTGGGTTTTGTTCTAGTTGCAGCTCTGTGTTATTGGCTTTTTCTGCAACAGTGTTGCTAGTTGTGCATTGACCAGTCTGATCTCTATTTTCTAATCCATCCAGTGGTAATCTATCGTTCCTACTTACTGATGTATCAACTTCATGAGCAGAAGCCTCAGATTTATCTATCTGAAAGTTACCGCAAAGTTCTTCTTTTTCTTTAATAAGATATTCTCTCAGAGAGGAAAGGAGATCATCTTCACCTTCAAGGTCAACATACTGGTTTTGTTCAAAGGCAGTGTTTGCAAATTCTACCGGCCCTATTAAATGACAAAGATGGTCATAAATACTATCCCCAACTTCCAAGGAGGACTCTCTGCTATTTGTATCAGTGATATGACTTTCAGTGGATCTATGCATTGAAGAGGTCTCAGTGGAATTCTGTAAGCTTGGAGCATGATGGGATGAACTGTCAATGACAGGAACTGCACCTTTGGCTCGTTCAACTGCGAATGGTTCCAGGATGTCAGAGGTGCTGCTGCTTCGTGGCAGTGGCTGTTCTTCATTTAATGCACCAAAAACTTCACTTGGAGCATCCTCACTCTGAGAAAAATGTCTGACTCGAGGTGGACGTGGAAGAATTTGAGCATCGTCAATGTCTGTAGGAAAAAAGTATATGTAACATGCACCAAAATTTACATATAGAGACAATATATATCTACCACTACAACCTAATGATGTGAGTTTAAAAGCCAGAAAAATTCAGAACCTTGTTTTCTTAGGTACAACAAAAACACTTTTTTCAATACTAGAGTGTTAAAAACACACGGACATAATATCCAGTACAGAATGCAATATAAATGAGTTAGACCATCAGAACACAGTTTTAAATGTTAACATGCATGAGACCAAACAGTGAGGTCATGGAACATTTGGAAATACAGTTAAAGCTAGAGCTGTGCCAATAAGTTCAATAATTCAACCAATATTATTCCAGCTAGTTTCTTCAGGAAATGGTTATTGGAATACAAATGAGCTCAACAGCACTACTCCCTTTAGTGGAATTTACATCTTCAGAAAAATGGGCAACTCCAAAGAGAACAAGGATGTTTTTTGGAAAATTGGGGTTGTCTGTTGAAGTGGCAAATCATTAATTAAAATATGTATATATGTATATGTGTGTATTTTGATAGTGTATCTCTAAGGACTAAAGCTTTTAAACGACACGCAAGAGCTGGCCCTAAAAAATAAAAAGATGACTATACATAACAGACAATTGAAAGATAAACTCTCCTCCCCCAGAAGAATGTTTTGTCCCTCATCTTCAAAATATGAAACTAAATACCTAATGAAGGCTTACCTACCCCTCTTCTTCCAGTTTTACTCTGGCAAATGTAACATTTATGAGTATTACAGAATTAAGTACTCTGATACCAAAAAACATCCTGCAGCCTCACAACAGCCAACGTTAAAGTAAACCCACTTTGTGTATGAAAAGGATATAATTTGTTATTACCATTTAAATTAGTGATTCCTTGTTTCTGTTGAGACTCTTAATATGTTAGTGTCACTAAAAATCAGTTAACTGTAATGAAACCTGCAGTTCCAACATGGATCACCTAGGAATTGTACAGAAGTATCTTCAGCTCATTTCACATCATCCACAAAAATAAAGAACCTTCATGCATCTCTTCAGATTTCCTACTATGTTATAAGAACACTATATACTATCGAATTATCACTGTAGGCAAGACTAAATATCCTTTACAGATGAGTAAACTAACTGCTATCCCTTCCAGTCCTTTTATGAGATAAGCACTTAAATAGCAAGGTAAAACCAGTTTACTTAATTTTCTGCTGGTTTCTTTTTGATAGAATCTTTTATTCCCTAGATTAATTTTTTATTACCTAGTACTTAAAAATTGTAGAGATGCTTTCAAATTCAGGAATAACAGTAAATAGCTTAAATGAACACCAGCAAGAGTTATTTGACACAATAAACAGACTTACCTTGTTGTTCTATCTAGATGATTTAACTTCAGGACTGCAACGGTGAATTCACTTAATATCAGAACAAAATTTAAGTCTCTTCACCTCCCCTAACTTTAATGTGTTACAGTTAAAATAAAGTAACTATGTATGTAATTACATTTTAAAATATTTCTATTATTACTAAATATTATATATAAATATAACTGAGTATTTAATGTATATTTCTCTATATATATTTCAGCAATATTGAATATTGATAATCTGAAGTCCCCTTAAAACCTGTTTTGAGCTGCTTACACTTTTCTGACAATGTTAGAGATGGAGCTGCATGTTCTCATATTCTCCTTCGGAACAAAGCACATAAACCAGATGAATGAGATACGTCCATATTTAACTAAATATGTGTTCCAAGAAGATGAAAAGTGCTATTTCCATGCTCAATTTTACAAAGAAGTTAAAATTTGAGAGTAACAGTTTGACCTCATACAAAGTTTACTGAACTGTAAAGAAGCTGTTAGACAGGAAATTGAGAGAGATCTATATTGGAAAAAGAGAACAGGCATCCAAGCTATCTCAGAAAATAAACATGAACTGAAAAATCATCGAATACAGCACAACCTATTATTAATTTTCTCTTCAGCTTTGATAAGTGACGAACTTCCCATCATTGTTCTTGTTCAACTTACTACTAACTGCATGAATTAACACCCTCTGAAATGAATCATGTCTCTCTCTAATTGAAACTGTTATTTCAAACTCCCTACTGATTTAGGCACGGATTAACAGAAGTTATGCTAACGTAGTCTCAAGCTATTTCTTACAGCTGTAAAGAAGGGACCATAGGATTCAGTCAAAAGTATGGACGATGCTATATATGAGATTGATACATGCAACTATGATACAGTGATCTCATCTTGAGCTCTCAGTATGCATTTTTCAGATCGATTATAAACTCAACCTTATCTAAAGCAGCAGCCTAGAAATCCCATGCTGCGCATGCATGCAGTGATCATGACCTTCTAGGATGTTAAAAATAATCAGACAGAGAACTCACAATGCACACAAAGCAGCTCCACACATTGAAATAAATTCAGCTAGATTCATTTCAATGTTGATCCAGAATTAATTTTAGGTGCTCACATATTCATGACAAGCACATACAAGTACACATCTTCAGACAAACATGTGCTTGCACCAATATAGATTCCTTTTTTGTAGAACGGGAAGAAACTAAGGAAATGAAAAATGTTATTGCAATACCAGCACTGAAAACACAGACAATATTTAAAAACCCAAATGAACTGCTCCTTCACAACCAGGGCTCACCCTTGCACACAAGTGTACAGTCAGACTGGGACACCCAAAACTCCCATGGGGTTTGTGTGCCAGCAGGCTGACCCTGTGTATCTGACCCTGAGTACCCTTAGGAGAAATACTGCCCTGATTCCTCACATGGTACAGTACGGAAAAGATTGTAATTGGTACATCTGGCCAACCTCACACAATCACTACTGTCCTAAGTCAACCTTGACTCTCCTTTTGCTGCTAGAAGGCAGAAAGAGAAGACAGGTTTTCAGCATCAAGTGTGAGATACATATGCTAAAACGATATACATAGATAGATATACATACTCATGGACAGACACATTCTGACAAGACAGCATGAGTGCTAATGGAAGATCCCTGCATAACACTGGGGCAGGTTTATATTTCATCATGCAAAGACTGCTTGGGAAGTGGAGAAAAAATAACATGTTTTGCTTCTTAGCTTTCAATAGTTGGGTTTTTTTTAAAGAGAACACAGGCATTCTGTGAGTTTCTGGGATTAAAGAATAATTACATCCATACTGACATTACAATTATGATTTCTTTCTATTTCATCTTAATGATTACTGAATGATTTGGGAGTAAGGTTTAAATGCATAATATGAATCTCCCATTCATGTTAATACTTGACTCTTTTAGTCCCAGTAGATAAGGAAAAATCTCCCACCCACAACTAATTAGTTTGCCCACTGCTTCTAGGAATCTTGCCTACACTTCACTGACACTTTTTTCAGGTCTTGTACCTGAAAATCCCCAAGTGTTACAGAATAAATGGTCATTTCCCTAGTTATCTTGTAAATGTGTAAGACTGGATTTCTTATGATTCTCACAGGCTAAAGGAAAGTTCTTTTTAGAATTATTGCAGATTTGCAATAGATATACTATACTAAATCACTTTATTAACTAAACACTGTAGAGTATAAATCACTTCCACTTTCTAGACACTACTTGAAAAGTTGCAAATATTCTGCACATGGAAATACAGCATAACTGAAACTACATGAAGGAAATATAATCTTAGGAAAATCATCCTCTATGATACTATATGACTGGATGCCAATAGTGAACTTCTGCAACATATTTTATCAACCTACTGATTGATCTTCAAATTATGTCCCACAAATTATACTAAGGTTTTCTGCCTTACTCTTGAAAATTAATATAGAGTACATAAGGTAAAAGTTTGGTCATAAATGCTTTCTGTTAGACTACCTGCCCAGATTCACCAGTGTTCAGTTGGTCCACCTCTCAATGATGAGTTTCACAGCTAAAAAGAAGCTGAAAACTACTTCCAAAAACTTAATATTACGCAGCCTGTTATTCTGGAATAATTTGAAATGCCCTCTACTTCAGGTTGTGTTGGATTATAAAGTAATACTGGATAACAGGGATATTCTTATAATCCTGTAACAAGAGGAACAGCTGTCACAACTAGCTAAACATCATTCATTACCTAGAACACGCAACAGAAACAATTTGATTCCTTCCCAAATTACATGCTGTACGTCTGGAAACAGAGGGCTTTGAGAAAATAATATATTTAATGTAAGAAGAAAAGGCAATAAAATGATAAAGCTTCATGTTTAAATAAAAAAGGGAAGAAGAAAGAGAGCACAATTAAAAATGCAGAAAATTAAAAGAGCAAAGTGCACTCTGATCCAGTGGACTGTGTTTCTCTTTCTCTGCTGCTTCCCCATCAACACTCTAATAACTTGTTTTTTTCACTAGAGCTTTTTAGTTTTCTGACAATGTTCAAGATTCTTGGGCACATCATGAAGCTGCTGCAACACTCATTTGTTTGAGAAGACATCAAAATCAGGAAGGGCTTAGGACTTTTTCAATATTAGAAGTGCAACAGTTTGTAATGTCACTTTACTTTTATAATTGCATTGGTCATGCAGTTTTTGGATTGTATGAGTATCAACATCAAGAAAAATAGAAGGAGAGCCAGCAGGTCTGGGACACATTAAAAGTAATATGCAAGCCAGGACTTTTCAGGAACATGGATGATAAAACTGACTACAAAAGTATTTTGTTTTGTTTAAGAAAGAGTAATTAAGTATCAGTGATTATGTGATGAATTAGTATTTCACTGTGAAAGCTCATAACCCTTCTGTGGGTGTTCTTAAGGTCTTCTTTAAGCACTGACAATTTCCAACATCGCTATGGCCAGGTAGGACACATTTTCTAATGGGTTGTTTAGGTACCATTATTATAAAATCTCTATCTTCTAAGTTATAATCACTTGTATCTCAGAAGAGATAGTCTTTGCACTCAGACTTTTATTATTTATTACATATAATTTGTATTTTATTAAATTTTGTTTGTGGTGTCAAGAACTGTATTCAAATACTTTGTAATTGTTCATTGTCAAAGTCTGGTCTCTCTAGAGTGGGTTCTTTTGAACTTTCCTGATTTTTCAATAATGTTTTCAGGCTGAATACTAAGGCATCAAGTTTCTGTTTCACAACAAGAATTTTGTGACATGCGACACATGACAAAATACAATTATGAAGATACAGTTCTTGGTACTTCTTGGGTAACAAAGACAGGCAGGAGAGACAGAAAAGAAAAAAAAAATTTATAAAAATATTATTGCCATGAAGTCCCTATATTGTATGCCATTTTGATTATATATAGTCCTCAAACTGTGCTTTCATTTTTTTTTTCCATGCATTGATACAAAGGCATAATCAGCCGTAACACATTACTAATTTATATGTGTGTAATATCTGGAAAAATTACTTTATCTGAAAACATGTATTTTAGAAGTCTGTGCTCACTCTAGTTGTTGAATCTATTTGTTCAAAGAAAAGTATCCAAAGTAAGCTACTGTTCAACTTGTAGCCAACCACCCTGCTGGACCAAACAGAATGTTGAGGAAAACCACAGTCCGAAAAAATTGATCATTTGGAAAATAACACCAAAACATCACACGAGAATTCCACACTACAGATTTTTTTTTTTCATGTTTTTATATAGTAATGAAAACCAGGCATACTCTAAAGGATATTATATGATACCATATTCTTTTTTCATGGGAGCTAAAGTGTATCACCATGGTTGTTCACACAACATCTATGACACTGAATTAAAAAAATTTACACAGAAGGATGTAAATGGCAAATCAAAGTAAAATTTCTTCCTTTCCCTCCCTCACTCATCAAAAATAAAAATTTTAGATTAGTTGTACTCTCTGGTAGACAGATATTGTATTACTGCTTACCAATAAATTGGAAAAGCGGAAAGATTTCTCAAATTTTCTTTTATGATAGCAAACATTGGCACAGCACTAACTTCTAACAGTTCCAGAATGAATTGTAAAATGGCATGGTATCTTGCAAAACTCAAAATATTAATTCTTAATCTCTTCCCCTCTCCCACCATCCCCAAAATATTTTTACTTTGAAAAATTTAATGGTTTAGCAGAATTTGAAAGCAGAAGGTTTAAAAAAGTGATAAAGGGGGTGCAGAAATTAGCAGAGGTGGCACTACCTGAAAGCTCATCAGAAAGGGGAGTGAGAACAATATCAGGCAAGAAGGGTTTGGAAGTATGGATCAGAACAGGAGCACTTTTAGCACTGCGTATATAGGCCGATGGCAGAGCACATTCACCAATGGATCGGCTTCTCATGGCTTTAAAAAGGAAAAGAAAGAAGTGGGGAAGGAAAAAAGAAGAGTGACTATAATGAAAGGCTTGTGTCACAGAAAAAGCAGCAACAGAGAAAACAAAGATAAAAAGGAAGAAAGTTCAAAAATTAAAACATTTCAGCACGGCAGATATTGGCAGAGCTGTAAGAAAGAAAAAAATCAGTGGACACATAAGACATTCTGAGTTTTCAACTTTTATGTAAAGCAGCAACAATGCCTTTATTGTGACGATTACAGAGATTTTGCATTTGAAATCAAGAAGCTAATTAACACATTTTCCCACTGCATCAGGGGTTGAAAAATCAAAGTTAAAGTTACTCCACAAGCATTCTGAATTTGATTTTTTTTTTAACAGGAAAAGTAACTTGTACTACATTTCAATGTAGTTTCTAGTTTCCTTTGATTTTATCCTGAAAATGCATCTCTGTATCACACATATGCCCATACTACTGAATTCATGCTCTCCAAAAGAGATTCAAAATCATAAGGAGAAAATTATCAGTTCTGTGTGGAGAAATTTGCAATAAAGCTTGTTATAGTTCCACATTAAAAATTAAAAGACTGAAGTGAAGTGTTTTAACAATAAAAAGCATTAATTTTTTTTTTTATCCATGGGGTCTGGCTTTTAATTGATACTGGATAAATCTTGCCAAACCGATGTTTATTCACCTTTTCATATCTCACATCCTGCCAACAGTCCTACAGAATACAAAATGTACATAAGAATTGTGGTATTACAATCAAGGTTATATCTGCAGCTTTTCTAATAGATTTAAATGAATCTTGGACATTTGCTTTTCTCTGTCAGAGTAAGACACAGCAAGAACTAATACTGCATTCAACCTCAAAGTACTCTAGAAGTTCTTAAAAAAGTAATATCCTATGCTTCAAGTAGCTTCGTTTCATACTGTTGTAAATTTGCTAACTTGTTTTAAAATTATTGCTGATAAAATTCTTTAAGGAAAATTCAGAGTATCTAGCATAAATATTGCCACTGCAATACTTAATCAGTCTGAATTTTTCTCTCTATATCTATTTTTTCAAAACAACACAGACTTAGGATCTTGGTGCTCCTGATCTGCATGGGAATCAAATGTACGTGAATGGAGTGCAGTGAAAGTTGAGCACATCACGCTTCAAAACCAGGTTAAAGAATAATTGCTAATAATAACATGCAGGTAACCTGGGTAGGTCACATTGAGCAGAAAATACGTTTGACAAATGCAGCACAACTTAAGTGGAGTTCTAAATTCAGTTTGAAAAAACAATTCAGAAAGACAGACCTTTTAACACTGCTCTAGTAAACTTTGTATGACAGAAAGTATTTTTTTTAAAAGGGTAATTATGTGTAAGGCTCTAGTATCAGTTTGATTAAGAGATACAGTAATAAAAGGATATAGTTATAGTTAGATGCATATCGTTCAGCACTGTGAATCTTACAATGAATGTAGGCAAGAGAAAAATAAAAACCACACAGTAAATATCAAGGATCTTTTCCAGGCTAAATTATCTAAATAAATCAAGCTTTTGATATTGGATACTGTGTTGATTACAAATCTTAATATAAAGTTTTTCTTTTAATTTGACTGGACTTTTTTCCACCATATTACATTCAATTAAATAGTTAGGTGGAGGCAGACAATATCAGAACATGTAGATATTTGATAGGTTATAACCTTCCACTGTTGTCTACACAAAAGCAGAACAATAGGTAAGTAAATTCTTTCTGACACAATATTTTTATAGGACCACAACCTGCTGCCTAAGCCAAACTCCTGTATCTAACCTTACAGATTTTTCAACCCATATGCATACCTTGCTTAAAGGCCCTTTCAAAAATTATTTTAAATAAGCTCAAGCTAAAAATGTACAACTGCATATCAAAACAGCTTTGATTTTTATTTGAGTAACACGCACACACACATATTTGGTGCAGCAATAAATGTGTGCTGGCATGACGATGGCTCAAAAAATAGAGGTGCAAAAATGTACACAAAAATGTGTACCACATAAAACAGATGAGAAAGAAACTCCAGCTTTTTCTTACCATAAAATATCCAACATGCACATCCCCCCTACTCAGATATTAAGAGTATATATTACTCTCAATCAAAGGGAATGTAATACAAATCACATATCATGCAATACATTTAAGGTCTGACTCAATTCCAGGCTTAGCTTGCAAACCTAATGATAAACTTGAGGAGAAGATCTGACCAGCAAAGTGTTCTAGATTTTACATATTGTGATTATATTTTTATTATTTGACCCTGAATTTATGGCACAAATTAAGAAGCAGCTGGACAGCTCTCTTTGCACACCAGGGAGGCAGTAACAGACAACTATTTTCAGGCAGTTAAGATATATGTAACATTTGGTAACATTTTCCTCATTAAGATCTAAAAAAAACTGAGGAGTTTGGGATTCTGGTTCTGGCAACTCTTTTTGGATTTATTGTCTTTTAAAATCGTCCTAGCAATGCTGGGATGCTGGGATGCTTGTCCACAGTTGGTATTCTGCAACATTAATAAAGCTGAAATTTTAACTGGTTGCAGTAATGCAAACTTGGCTTATTAATATCAAATATGTAAGATAATTGGAGGAAAGGAACAAAACCATGGAAGCTAAAGTGCAGTGAAACTAAAATCAGATTACTTTGCTGCTAACCAGGTCAATATATAGCTTGATTAGGATAAATTCCAGTCATTTCAAGGCTAACATCATATAAATAGCCATCTTTCAAATTGCAGCAAAACAAAAGCATTAATAAATTGACCAAACAACATAACCTTCTGACAGAATATCTGAAATATTAACAATTTGTGAAGGAGAAATTTTAACATGAGCTTTATCTTGTTAAAACAATTAAGATTTAAAACAAAACCACCATTACACTTAATCACAGACTACAGAGAAGCAGAAATTACATTTTAAACATCTGTGATCCATGAGGAAAACTAGGTGCTGTCAGCATGAGATACAGGAAAAGCTGTGTAGCATTTGAATATGCAAAAAAGACAGGAAATTTTGGAGTAGGGAATTAATTGTGCTGTAAAGCATACAGGGATAACTTCCCTCATTTCTGTATGCCTTACGGCACAATTAATTCTCCCACATAAGAGCCTTAGGAGAGAAAAAAAATTAAAATGGAGAATTTTGAGGAATAGTCAAATAGAAACTTTGTCTAAATAACCTCTGTGACTTAAAAAAATTAACTTCAAATATTTTTGGAAAAAGAAAATCTTAATTTCTGAAAAGCTAGCACAATTACATATTCAACTGCTGATATGCATCCCAAATTTTTAAAACTGTCAGAATGTACCTACTTCCAAGAAGTATCAGTGAAGCAACAGCACACAATAACCAAAGTCACTACTACTATAAAGATAGCAAAAAAGTAAGAGATATTCCTTAAAAGGTTCTTCTTTAAATACAAAATTAGAACCAGCTTAACTTTCCTTCATGTAAGCAATAGCACTGAGATCAAGATGAGACAACAGAGTAAAGAAATTTGTAGTTCAGTTCCTGTTAACATAATCTAAGAAAATCATATGAACACAAATGAGTCTTCTTTTGAGGAGTTCACCTAAAGCATTGTTCAGTATAACTCATTTATAACACAGCAAAGAGTACTTGCAAGTAATAAAATTCAGAAATAGGTGACTTCAGAAACTGAGAATTGCACACATCTGTCAGTCTTTCATTATTGCAATATTCAGGGTAGAGTAAAAGACAGCACATTTAATAAACTATGCAGACTTATGAATATTTTCCCCAGTTTTCTTCGCACAGTTTGAAAATACTCAACCCATCTCATGCAGTGTATGAAAACACACACTTAAAAAACCTTCTCTTACCCACCTATCAGCACCATAGCTCAAACCACTCAGCTTTTTTCTCCTTCATACACATAGTATTATTTTCCAATCCAGCTTAAGCATGTGATCAAGTTCATTAAGAATTAATATAGCAACTGCATTACTTTCATTTTCAATAACTGTAATTCTAGTAAACACAATCTATTCAGCTACCCTCAAAGCACATAAGGCTGCATAATTCATGCTTTAACTAATGTGCACATCATTATAGATAATACACCTTTGTGGAAAGAAGCCATCCACATTGCTACAGAAGTCAGTTATTAATGCCTTAGCCTTTCCCAAACGTCACTTTTCTCAGCTCCTACAGGATACTTACCAACTGTTTTCTGCCGTACTATGCTCCTCGCCTTTTCCGTTCCCGGAGAGCCGGTGGTTGTAGCGCTGCGCTGTCTCATGGGCGCCTGTCCAGGCTGGTCACGGCTCCAGCCTCTAGAAAAGGACTTATCAACAGAAGACTTTGGGAATTCATGCCCAACGCCTGCAAAAATAAAATTGCAAATCTATTCACTATTATTCTGCTATCAGATGACTGTAGATGTGTTCTTTCAAAAAAATTTTAAAGCTGGATGGAATAAGTTAAGTTACCAAAGCAAGCATTAATTCAAAAGCTCAGCCAGGACTAACTGAGGGACACTCAAACTTTTTCAGAAATGTTGGTGCTATTAAACTACTGTCATTCTCTTTTCTGAAAAAATGGGCTCACACAGGTAGTAGATACTACATGTAACTTTTCCTTTGCTGCTCCTACTAGATAAGATACACAAAGTAATTAATTTCAAAACATTAATATGGAGGGGATGGGGGGGGGAGGTTTCCAAATAATTTTGCAACATTGAGGAACATAAAAAAAGGATAACATAATTTTACACAAAGTGCAAAAGCAAAAAAAAAAAAAACAGATGATGGGCTCAGAGAACTTTGGAAATTGACAGAAAATACTATAGAAAGATTAAGATGGAACAAATTCAGATTTGACATATATACTGAAACAAATAAACCTCATATGAGGAGCTATCAAAAACAGCTTGTTAAAAAAAAATACTGAAGTAAAGAATATTTGTAATATATTTCCTTAACCGGATTGAGCTCATTAATAATCCAAGCTGACACAATAACAATCATTAAAGGGACATCTCTTTGGAAAAAAGTGAGCTCTAGTCCAACATGTTCATTATTATTGGCAAACAAACAGGGGCAAAGAAATCTGGCATAATTGTATGATATCTATTAATTCCAAAGCTGGACTTGACTCTGCAACTCACATTTAGCAATGGAGGCTTTCTCTGAAACTTTGTCACTAAAAGTTAACATAAACTTTCCTCATGTTGCTCAGATGATTCAAAATGCTTTTAAAAGTATATATTTAAATAATTGTACACATTCTTACCCTATACTAGACTGTTCTTTCCTTTGCTGTTTGGGGTTTTTTTGGCTTTGTTTTTTTTTTGGGGGGGGGGGGTTTGGTTTTGTTTTGGGGTTCGTTTGTTTGTTTTCTTGGTGTTTGTTTTTGTTTGTTTTGTTTTGTTTAACCTGTGTTTTTTTAGTAAGAAAAAGAAGAAAGCTGCGTAGTATAGGAAAACAAAAAATGCATGGTCTGGAACGACCTCTCAAGGGCAACTACAGAGAGATGTATTTCTGCCTAGCTATCACACAGCAGAAACCAAAACAAAATGCTGAATAGTGACTCTGCTTAAGATGAGGCACAGAAGTATGTGAAATGTTTTTAGCAAAAAAGAGCCTATAGCAACATCCTCTTTAAGAGAGGGAATCCACACAGGTGGCTTCTTACTGACAAACCCTAAGATAGTACTAGGAAGCACCTTCCCTCAGGTTTGACTGAAGAGAAAAAAAGTAGCCTAAAAATAAGATGTTTTGACATCTTTGTTACACACCCTAAATATAATCCTGCCTCTCAGTAAGAGATCACAATGCACTTTTTAAAGGAGAATATTATCATTATCCATGTTTTACAAAAGTGGAAATGAAGTGATTTCCAATGGTCACAACCAAAAGGTCTGTCTCCAAACTTAGGAAAGAATCCAGGTTTCGCAACTTTCAATCCAGACCTCTCTCCAGGAGGACAAACTTCCTGTCCCTTACCAATTCCAGAACTCTGCCATTGTAAGCAGCCACCTCCTCTTCCCATTTTATTACAGACTATTTTATGCATTTTTTGGAATCAGTTTAAAAACAGGTACCATTCATGGATTACTAAACTATACTTTCTCTTATGTAGCCCACAATGTCTCATTGTAACCAAACCTGTCTTTACAATGGGCTAGTGATCAGTTAGTACCAAACAAAGCCATGTTCACCTTACATTTCACCTTTTAACATTTCAATATTCCAATTGTGCTTGCAGTGGCTTAGTTTTCACCAGCTGAGAAGTGTTTGTTATTTTCAAGAAGTTATGATTGGAACTCAACTCTTTAATTGCTTTGATAAAAGGAGAAAGGCATAACCCACTACAGTGTAACATTTTAGTTTAAATTCAACACACTTTTAAGAACTACATTCCATATGTGCCTATTTGCAGAAATAACACGATCATGTTGTGGCAGTTCTAAAAAGATTTACCTTAAAGAAACCTGAAATAACCAGGGTTATTTCAGGTGATAGAGATGCCTAATTAGGTATACAAAAAAAAGTGAGACCAAAATTGTCCTGTGCCCGATACCAGCTCAAATTCAAATTATGTCCATACAGTGTTGTCTTACCTTTGCCTTTGTGTTTTTTCTGTTTCTGCTCACTTAATTTATCCAGTGGCAGGTCACTGAGGTCCAGGCTATACAAGTTTCTAGCTAATACTTTAGTAAGTGTCTCCATTGTCAGTGACCACTCAGTGGCCAGCTCTTCCCAGTATGTCAGTGATGACATCACAGACAGCAAGTCATCCCAAAGTTCTCGAGAAATGTACACATTTAGATTTGCTTTGATCCAAGCTACTATAAGAGTCTAAAAGAACAGAGAAAAGTTGGATTGTGAGCATAAGCTAACAACATTCAAATGTTACTGTTTCAAAGAAAACTTCAAACTGCCACAGAAATTTTTGTGTAGTCCTGACATTCTTTTCCTCACCAATACATACAGATTTTTAATGAATTACCAAGTGTTAACAGAGGGCTCTGACTTAGACACAGGAGCAACTGGTTTGACCCTTATCTTACCCTGTGTATTCTTTTTTGCTCTGCTAAAGTCACTGGAGACTCTACAGATCCTAGTCACTGGGAACTCACCACAACAGCTCTTTGCAACGATAAACTTTGAAAGGATTTGCTACAGCTTTCTGTAAGCAATTACAGAATTCTCTAAGGAATAAAAAAATCCATCAGTTAGGAATGGATAACACAAAACATTTCATGCTGACTTGAGCTAATTTTGCTATGGCAGCAGGCTAAAACTGCACACACTGCCAGTAATCTTTGCCAGTTATTCCAACCCAACTAAAGGACAGCAATCCTTGAATTTTACAGTACCTCAAATACTGCTGCCACAGTGCCATTAAAATATAAGACAGAAAGCAACAAATGTAACCAGCTCTTTGACCCACAGCATTCACATCATCTGGGTAACATACCAGTGATATAAGATGACAAAGCAGCCAACAGTGGTTGCTGTATCCAATCTATTCATGATAATTAGGCTGAATTAATTGAAGTGAATTTATGTTTACTCGCCTGGAAAAGAGGTCCTGCAAGTCTTCCAGCTAAAGTGGAGGTTTTTCTTCCTTGATACTGCAAGAAAGTTTGGGGTGGTATTTTCAGCACAGATTCAGTTACCCTGAGCAGCACAAGCAGCATCTGCTCCCTGCAAAACAGTATTAAACTTAGAGTTACCATTTTGCTATACCTCTGTATATGCCAAGGTATTTTTAAAGGTAATAATCAGGCCTTATCTGCTCAAACACATTCCAAAAATGTCATAATGATTACAAAGAGCCTAACCTGGTTACTGCAAAAAAAAAACATTCCAATCTTTTTTCACGTTTAAGAGTGAGCACTTCTTCCAAGTAATTCAGCTGCTATCACCTTCAATGGTCCGAAATTAGAGGCAAAGTTTTAACTGTATTTTCAATCTGAGCTTTTTCTATGAATTACAGGTTTTGGTAATTTTACATTATCATTAACATACTCCACCAATTATTTTGTGTGGCACAATCTTTGCCATTGTGGTCTAGAGTCAGTTCTTTACATTGACGTGAAACTGGGAAAGAAAACAACAATCTAGTAGAATCTGTTTACTGTTATGACTCCCAAATTTCCCAGTGGCCAGCTAAATTGGCTCCTCAGAAGAGGAAACAAGCTTCACATGGCACGTAGGGCCAGCTTTACTTACCCAGAGTTCAAGACAGATTGAGTGGAAGTCAAGTTAAAATGGAATAAATCAGATATTTGAAATCCCCTCGCTACATCTTTGTAATGGAGGATGGAGGCAATATAGCACCTGATTACAGACTGCTATTTAAAGGACTGGGAAATAATAGTAATTCCTTTAAAGCAGAGTCTCCTGTACCTGCTAGGCACCATAAGAACTGGAAAGGCACAACAGTTACATAGTACACAGACTCCTGTATACAATTACAGGTCAAGAACAACACACATCTGATCGTAATGATTATCCATGCTTGTCTGGGGCTTTTAAAAAAAATTTTAAATAAGGCTGTGAAGCTTCATATGTTTCAACATTATAACACTTTGACACATGAGCAAAATGCCCTGCAAAAAATCATCAGTAGCTCCTCAACAATAATCTGTATATCCCAGCTTAGTCCTTTTTGTACTGAGGTCTAAACTGCCACAGATTAACCAGGAGCTTACTGGAAGCTTTAAGAGAACAGACAATCTCTCCTGTGCTAAGTTGTCTGCGGTGTTCAAGTTTGTGCATTTACTGATTTAGAGGAACTGGTTCATATGACCAATACCACTCTACAGTGTTTACGACCAAGTAAATTTTCACATTTCTGTTGTGAACTAATAATGTAAGTTAAAAACATTAGCATTTTACCATGTCTTCTTGTCCATAGTCACTTGGACTACCATGTGGCGGTAGATATTGAGAACGCGTTTGCACATATCAGTGTGTTCATCCAGCAGAGATTTAAACTCATTTGCAGGTTCAAGAAAAAATATATTTGAAGAATTTATTATAAAAACCTGAAAGCAGAAAAGAGAGGATGTCATGATCATGCAACACTTTGATGTTTTCAGCAATTCAGTGGGTAGAACCAGGAAGAAAAAATCTGTAAAAGAAAATCTTTATAAGAAAAGGTTGTATATGCACACAGAAGTGCATGTTTAAATATGTCAGTTTGAAGTAATGATTAAGCAACAATGAGACTGACCTTTTCCCTATTTTTTCTACAAAACCTATTTGTATATTTTTGTTCTCTTAGATGATTCAACAAACTACTCAATATGATTAGTTTAATATGATGGGACAAAAATGTCCCAGTAAGAAGTCCACTGCACAAAAGTTCCATCCCTAAGCCAGGAACTGACCAGTACAATATATGGTAAACTGCTTGAAATAGTCCTGGTACACTGTGTGTGTCTCAGCATGACACAGCCTGTATTATGTTCTGAGAAACTAAAGCATTCATCCCACTGGGATCAGTAAGGCTTACCAAAAGCAGGAAACTCGACACGTTCCCAAAAGTGACTGACTTCAGTGGGCAGTAAATTAGGGCCTTCAGAATGAAAGTTATGAAAAAAAAAGTAGGAGTAGGCCAGGACAGAGCTGCAGAAGCAGTTACTGAAGTGTTACTATATTTTTATGTAAGTTTAGAAAGCACTTGAATCTCAAATCTAGATTTTCAATTATTTTTTTACATGTACAGGAAGTCATTGGTACTAAAGTCATAACTTCCCTCTACTGAAAGCTTTGGATTTTTAATAATTAAAAACTATTAGTATGCACTTTTACATTCACTAGCCTCAACTAATGAACTTAACCTACTCTAAATGCCTAGAAATAAGTCTACGCAAGCATTAAATGGGAAAAAAACTCAAGACAGAAGTCTTGGATTATTGATTCACAGGGAAAATCAAACATGGTTCCAGGTCAGGAAACCTCTCAAATTGAGACATGGTACTGGATTAGAATGATGTCTTGACTCTGTTTCAGGCTAAAGGAAAAAAAAAAGATATTTGGTAGTCAAATGAATCTTTGTCTAAAAAACTTCAACACGAATAATCTTCAAGACATTGTCAGATGTGTAAGCCTTAGTAGTATATTGCAAACAGATACAGATACTTTGTACGTTTTTTCTCAGTAACACTTCATATTCTAAAAAGTTGTTGAAAACAAAGATTATGAAGCTTAAATTATTTTAATGTATTTGAATTTAAAGGTGATTTCAATTACAAAGTTTATTTATATGTATAACAGTGTACACCACAAAAGAAAACTCTATTCATAAAATTATTCAAGCTGTAGTAAAAATGAGTTTTCCTTAGTATGGTCACACGCAGCAGAAGTGCATACAGTAAAGTGGTAAATGCACATTATTTTATTTTGTTTAGAATCAATTTTCTGCTGGATATAAGAACATTATGGAGGCTAGAGTAATATACCCACCTGTATGAATTTATGTGCACACACATATACATAAAATGCACAGACTTTATAACCATAAGAGTATTTCAAAGACCTTCAAATTATACGCTCCCAATTTTCCACAGCTTCATCTTCAGCGAAGCATTTTTGCTAAACATTTGAAATTAACATGATTTCTACCCTGTCAAACTGCCTAGAAGCTGTTAAAAAACTTCTGTTAGGGTACAACTGAACTCTTGCTTTCCTTAATGATATCACCAGAGAGTTATGGTGCCTCATCAACCTTTTCAAACTGCTGTAAATTCAGAAAAAGATTAAAAAACATCCCTGTACACCTTATTAATAGGACTAAAAAAACTAGAAGGTTGGATGTTTTGGCTTTTGTGACCAATAGTGTAAAAGCAAAAAGCCTCTAAACATTCTCATAAAAAGCTTAATTATATTTAAAGATGTTGCAGTATCATGAGGATTATTTTTTCTCTAATATAATACAGAGGAGAATGCATGTTCCAACGCAAAATTAATTTTTTTTTATTGTGTTACCCATCACTGGTCTATACATTGTCCTACTTCAGGTCAATAAAGATACAGTGAACCAGTGTCATTTGTCTAACCTTTATCATCATACTTGTTGCATATAAAATAATTTTAAAATTTAGAATGCTTTACAGATGCATGGGATTCCCTGGCAGAAATACTGCACTACATTCCACTCTCTATGTGCTGACAACAAGAATTTTAGGTAATTTCAGATAGCTAATTTAGATAAAATTAAATACCAAGTCTGTTTCATACCTGCAATACTGACTGCACTCCAGCTCGTACATTTTGCTCTTCAGTATCAATTTCAGATGTTTTATGTAAAGTGTCTTCATAACAGCCATTTCTTGCCCAGTTGGAATTTCTAACTCCATGACTGGAGTTCATCCCTTTTTCCTGAAAGATATTTTTTCTTAGAATTCCACAGAGTTTTAGACAAGTATTTTGGCTTTATATTAAATGAAAAAGTATATAATAGGTACTAAATAATAAACAACAGCAGGTAAATGCATCTGAGACACAACAATATTTCATGAGGCTTGTAGCAATTATCTTAAAGTCCCTGAATGAAGTAACTACTATTTTTGTCACCCTTTTATTTGTATACAATTTTTACACAGTTGATAATTAGCATACTGTATAATCCACATCTTGAAAACAGTTCATAAAATGATATGAAATTTTAAATTGAACTAAGCACATTAAAAAGCTACAGATAATAGATAAAATTGGTAGCTTGTCCATACAGTGTTTTACCATTGATTTTCCCCAATAAATGCTCTGACACCAAAGAAAACCACAAAGAAACTAGCAAGGAAGCCACTTCTCTGTCTACTGGTAGAATAATGCACAAATATTAACCAATAATATTTTACCTCTTCTCTTTCTTTTCCTTTCTCTGATGAATTATGGTCAACATTTTCATCACAATCTACAGCTGTGCACTGCATTATTTCTTCAGGTTCTTTCATAAATAAAGGTTTGTCTTCTTGTTGAATCCATTCTTGATACACCTTCACCACCTTCCTCATGGCAGCTGCTTCACATATCGGCAACAGAAATGCCTGAAAGTAGAAAAAGAAAGAAACAAAACACTGTTACAGTATTTGAAATAAGTTGGGCTCTATAATGTACAAGTTCGAAGAGATAAAGGTGGATAAAGACAGCCACTGTTGGATCCCAACATACAAACTATTGCCAAACTTAAATGTTTGCTCACTTTCTTCACATGTAAACTGAAAACATGAAAAAAACCCCACATTTAAACAAGAAAGCTTATCAAGAAATACTTTGAAAGATAAGAATCCATGTGGGCGTACCTACTTAGCACCTAGCCTGCTGAAATTAAGACCCAAGCACCCATCAAAATATGCAAAACAAATGAGCAGAAGTTTCTATTACAACATCTTTCATTCAGAGGATTTGGACAAGTGGAGTTAAATCAGCTCTAAATGACTATAAAAATTCAAGTGACACACAATACTGGTAGTCTTCTATCCTATTTTTAGCTAATTAAGATTTTACAAAACAGTACCCTTAAAGTGAATTACTCCCTGAAATATTGTATTATTGTTTCTAAAAATCATGCATTTGAGTTGGTTTGATGGCTGATCAGTGCCCTCTTCAGAAGGTTTTCTGTATTGGCTGTGCTGGTAACAAGTAGTCGTAGACCAGAAACTTTTAACACTAGTCAGATTTTAACTAACTACAAATACATTTACCAGAGACCATGATGCCCTAATTATACATTTAGAAGAACAGATAAACTACACTAACACACAGTTTTACAGGGTCTGTGCTGTGACTGTTGAAAACTAGCTGTCCATGTCTTTAAGGAGGGCCCACTTAACACAGGTTGTACATTCACTTTGGAAACAGAGATTTCATACCAATTATCACACTAAAAAGAATTCAGCTGTGTATTACAGGATTAAACTGACAAGTTCAGTCACATACTTCCTCATCAAGTTTAACATTCTCCTGCAAGTCCATATAAATTTTTTGTACCCTCAAGCCTAAAAGGCATGAAACTATTTCTCTACAGACAATCTTTCCACCACCCTGTACCACTGAAACCTCCTCTTGACAGGAATAACTTAGTCCTCATGTTTTAGAAACATTACAAATATCTTATGTATTAGAAATTAGTTTACACTGAAAACTCCTGGCTAAATAATGATGTAAATAAGATCTCATAATTGGACATGAAATCCAAATCATCTACATAAACTCACAGAGTGACTTTTAAAAAGAATAAAGAAAATTGCCTTTGCTTCTTTTCACTGCAGGGACAGTGAAAAGTAAACCACTGATAATTTATACTGTACATTCAATGGCTCAGACTCTGTAAACCCTTGAGTGTCAGCTGAATTTGGATAACTCTGCTATGTCCTTCAGTAATGTGTCCAAACTCTTGAATACAAGGGATGTGGATAAGCTTCTGGCATTTATTCGCCTCATTCAAAAATATTTACTCCATCCAGATAAACAAGTTTTAAAATGTTCAGCTTTCTGCTATTTAAAGCAATTAGTGTTGTGCATTTAACTTGAAACTTAGTATATCGTTCTTTACTATTATTCAGAAATATCTGTTTGTCTTTTGATCTATAGCATGGGGCATAAAGAAAGTTTATCTTATTCTATTCTCCCACACTGAACTCTAAGTTACTATTAATGAAGACTCCATATTCTGGCATATGTTCTCAGTTTAAATTTGTTTTAATAGTTTCCAGTAGAGAAATACTATTCTGAGTATGCTCAGCTAACATTTCTGGTTGCAGTGAAGTTAGAAACAGAAGTTGCTACCTTTTATAGCCATCTGTCCTACACTTCTGATGAACACTATCAAGGAAAGGACATTTGGATGCTTCTAAAACAGCTCTGTAACAGCTGCAGACTCCCACAGGAGGCTTCTGTTAATATGGTTGGCTGTGAGTTCTAATACCTACAGTGTTGATGTATGAAAAGATTAAACATTCCCATCTAAGGGGAACTGTGAAGTCCAAGTTAAATGTTGCTAAACTGGTTGCTAAAGACATAAAATTAGAAAAATCAGAAACTGGGGGCATTCTACACAGAATGTATTTCAGAATGTTAGCTTCTTGATTTTTGAAGGCAGGATGACAGAAAAAACCTGTAACTTGGTATAATGTTCTGCTTAACAAGTGCTCTTGAAAGAAAACCATGACATGATAAAAATATACAATATAATAATCAAGATTCTTGCATTCTAAAGAGATTTTTTTACCTGTCGAAAAATCTCAGTTAGAAAATTAACATTGTTTCTTTTAGAAGAGAAGACTTTCCGAACAATTTCAATATCAGTTAAATGCTCTTCATCAATACTGCAGAGGCTGGAAGAACTTGGTTCTCTCTCTGTTAGAGTACTTGTATTGGAATGAGATTGTTCTGGTTCTGCATTTCTATCCTGCTTATCAGTACTGTCATTTTTGCTGTCCTCCCTTGAAGCCATGCTAGCAGCTGCTCTCTGAAAAAAAAAATTTAAATATTCCATAGGTCATTTTTAGTACAGCAATAAATCAACAGAATTTAAGTATAATTTAAACAGCACAAAGAATTAAAGAACAAACAAACAAACAAAATTACTTACTTCATTTCAAGGCTTGTAATGTCCAGTTGATTAAAAACAAATCACAAAATTTGAAAAAAGAAAGTAGCATTGCAGGTCCTTTCAAACTGAATTACTAAACATACAATTTGATTAGAAATTACTGTTTTTTTTTAAACTTTTCATTAGTTGTAATTATTGGAGGAGAGCACACTGCTGACATAACAGTTAAACCAAAAACATGAAAACAAATATATTTTTGTGTATTTGGTTTTACCTGAATATTCTTTGGCACATTTTCACCTTCCATCCCAGGAATATGAGGTCCTGTATGAGGTTTTGGCTCAAGCCAGAAGGACACCAACCATCGAATGACAATCACACGAGCCTTAATGAAAGGTTCCTTTGTGCAATAGATTGCCTCATTGGTTTCAGCATCTTTCTTAACTATTACGTAGTGTGGCTTTGGTCTCATTTGTGGTATATCTGTACGAAAATACAACATTTTAAAAATACAGGCAGAGAGAAAGATCTGCATAAGAAAGAAATCCTAGAACCATAACCAATACAAATGAACTTCCAGAGGTGCAGTTTTGTTGCTTTCACTGTTGCACCACTCATTCCAAGATGCACTGGGATGGATGCAACAGAGAAAATGTCGAGAACATGTAAGACATCAAAATGTAAGACATCAAAACACTTGAATTTTCTCCTGAAGGGATACAACATGTTAGTCCAAAAGAAACTTATTTCTGATATGCAGAACCTTTAATTTTTTATCTGAAAGTGATTTCTATAGCCTTACATTTTTGCTTACATTTTTGCTTACATCCCAAACCTATGTAAGTAAACATATTTCATTATCTTCAGGTTCTTTCAAACTACGTTATACTCAATATTTGAAGATAAACTTCAGCAAACTCACTTCTTCAAATTCTCATTGCAAACAACAAAGTTCCAAGTAGCAAAATAACTGTCAACTAGACTACAAGAAATCTACTTTCATATAAAACTAATATACTGACAAATCAAATCATGGCAACAGTGGGAGATATGTAATTCCAAAATGCAAATGCAATAAACACAGCCTCTTCTGGCCCTGCAAAAGGATAAAGATGAATAGAACAGAGAAATCCTGCTGCAAAGCCACATGAGCTTTGCAGTTTCACCTAGGGCCCCATTTGCACTGGCTAATTTTGCTGGACTTTGCTGCCAGACCACAGGCACGTACATTTTCCTATGACTTAGCTGCAAGATGACTCTGAGGCTTCTATACTGGCTTGTAGGGAATGTAATGAAGGATGCTCAGGGGTACATCAGCTGGCAGGAACTGTGATTGTCTGGGGACTAGAACTGACAACTCCATTTTCGCCATCCCATGATGGTTCAGAACTGTTTAGCTTTTCTCGTTCTCTATTGCGCTAGAGTCATCGGTACTCCTGAATCTGCTTCAGAAAAAAACCATGAGAGTACTTAACTCAAGGTGGATGGAATTAACTTATGTGGTAAAAGCACTACAAAGATGGGGGACGCATGGATAACATTTTTTAATTGTGCGTTTTTCTATGACTTAACAGTGCAAAATGTCATTTCTGGGTTTTACAGCCCAAGACATGGTGCAGAGTAGTTCTGCATTACCATCATCAACGTGAAGCAGCAACGATACTTTCATATGCAAATGACATTTCTCTGAAAGTGGTATGCCAACCTACCAGTCCTAGTCCTATAAGGGCAAATATGAGGTATACTCCAAAACAAAAAGACAGATATTAGTGTGAGGACTGATTATAATATGTGCTGTCAGGACACCCTGATGCTAGTGTTTCAGTATCATGATTTCCATCTAGTGACAGCAAAAAAAACCCCAGGAAACTGATACTGAAACAAACACAAAATAAACAAAAATCCAAACCAAAAAACCAACTAACCAAAAGACGGAAGCATGGAAAAATGATGGTCCTATCCATAAACAGAGTGACAGATTGAACAGAGACAGTTATGTCAGCACTGCCTTAACTCTTCTGTAGCCTGCAGTGCATGAGCAAGAGAAGGTTTCCATGGTTTTACAGGCCAACCAGAAAGCAGTTAAAGGATACTAATGGTGAGAGTCAAAGAAGATTTTAAAAAGTCACACTGAACAATACAAAGGTATTCCCTGACTGTATCTTCTTAAAGCAAAGTCAAGAGTTGTTTTAAAGGATTCTGTGTAACTTTGCCAGTTTATGATGACAGAATCCAAGAGGGACAAATCTGGACAGCAGTGAAGAAATAATCAACTATTGTCTAAGCAATTATATTATGACAGCCTTTTTAAGGCATCTAAAGTGCAACCAGCGTATCTGCCAGACTGCTGTAAAGATTCCCCTGTTACCATTACAAATACACAAGATCCAGCACCCAAACTGAGGATATCCACACTGGTTTATCTCAGTGTCATTTCAAAAGCCACATACATAAGTAGTGATAGACCCATCATGATGCTGCTAAACTGAGGAATGTTTCCTGTATGACCTTCAAAACTATATCCACACTTTTCAATGAAAGCATTATTTTTAAACCCCATGATTCTTGCGTACCGTGTACCTAAGTACATAACAAATGCACAGAATACTCTCTGACAAGTTTACAAATGGTTTATTTACTGCAAATAATAAAACCCCAGCACATTGTTTTCATTCTGTGGAAAGCATCAGGTTAGTAAGAAAATTAAAAATTAAGGTATCTTAAACAAGCATGTGTAACAGTACAATCTGTGAAAAATGAAGAAATGCCTGGTAGCACAGCATTTAAAGATGGAAAAGTCAGTTCTCTCCAGCATCTACTAGCATTCAGCAGAGCACAAAGGCTGCAATACTGGCAGTATTTTCAGAAGGACAATAAAACATGCAATAAACATGTTTTTGCAGCACACTGTCTCCTCCTTGTTTCATGATAACCTCTCAGAACATCCTCTTTCTATAACTTGTTTCAACTGCATTATGCGCTGCAGCTGCTTCTCAAATGTATCCTCCTTCCAGCTGCTTCTCAAATGTATCCTCCTTCCAGCCGCTTCTCAAATGTATCCTCATTCCAGCTGCTTCGTGCATTTTCAAATTCTGTCCATCTTGAAAGAAGGTATCAAGTCTTCAGATGAGAACACAGACATAAAACCAAAGCAAAACAGAGCTTGTTAGATGGACTCAAACAGCACAAGAGTAAATATTCCCTTTCCCCAACTTTCCATTTTTTCTTTCTGTTGTGTTTTGGGCTTTCCCCACCCCCTGCCCTTCCCCCTCTGGGAACCTGATGTGAGCTGATGACAAAAAGAAAAGGAAGCTGAAGGTGCTGGAAGACATACACAGGGTAGAAAGTGAACAGGCTAGCAAAACACAATGCACGCCTGTAAGCTTTAACCATGCCTAATTTTTAAGACAATAAAGGCTTCATAAGGAATGAAGAGGTAAAGAGAGCCGTACAACAGCCCCCATTAGTGTCTCCCTGTAAAGGAAGGAACCTATCTAAATGGCTTGGAAATGGCACAGAAAGGCACATTACTATGACAAAAGAAGGAATGCCCCTAGAATATTACTGCAGTATCTGTAGCTCTTACTACACAACTTCTAACTCAATCTCAACAGATATTTAACAAAGATTTTACAAACAAAACAAACATTAAGGAAAAAAAAAAAAAACCCAAACCAAACCAAAAAAAAAAAAAAAAAACCAAAAAAACAAAAAAAAAAAAAAAAAACCAAAAAAACAAAAAAAAAAAAAAAAAACCAAAAAAACAAAAAAAAAAAAAAAAAACAAAACAAACCATAAAAAAGCAAAAAAAACCCAAAAACAAAAACAAACAAAACAAAAAAACCAACCAAACAAAAAAAACCAAAACCAAAACAAACTCTAAACAAAACCAAACCAAACTAAAAAAAATAAAACAAAAAAAAAAAAAAAAAAAAAACCAACCCCCTTTAAAAAAAAAAATCCAGGGGAATTTTTAAATCAAAAAACACAAAAACAACCCCTCTCAAAAAAAAATCTCATGGGAATTTCTAATGCTGTATTTGTCTTCTAAGTCTGTAATACTAAAGCCAGAATTTGGAGCCACAATACTTAGCCTTCTTGTAACTGGAATGCTTGGTGCTTGTTGCTGTAGGCAACATACTTATCAGGAAAGCAATCTCAGTGCAGTAAACTGTCTCCAGTAAAGCCCTGTGTCAATGCTGGCTTACTGAAACTACTGTTCTGATTTGTACCTCACGACTTCTCCTAAATAAAACATTACACCAGTAGCATGAGAACTGTTCTTAGTAGCAGGCTCAGTGCCCAAGTTTACCCTGCCTTCTGCCTCAAGGCTGTAAATTAAGAACAAGCACAGGATTATTTTGAATTAGTTTGGGAAGATGCATGCCAGAGAAGAACATATTTGGGGAGAAAAAAATATTCAACTTACCAATGCTTATGTTGTTTTCATCACTGTATTGTTCCAAAAGTCCTCATTATAGTTGCTCCCTGTGCACAGTCTAAGGCACTCACAGTAATTCTTGGGATCTGTGCACATTTCTTCTTGTTTCTCATTGTCCTCTTCTTTACTAAGGCCTTGGAAGTTTCTTGTTTACCATTCACAGAAAAACAGAGGACTACAGTAACACTTCTGTGGAAGACTCAATCAAGATCTTCACAGAAAGAGAAAAACAGCATTTCCATATTTCTTGTTCTGAAGCAACAATCAACAGTAGGTTTGCTTTCTCAGCACCGCTTACTGTCCCTCTTGTAGCTATTTTATCACTCAACCTCTTCAGCATCTGCGCAATAACTCTCATTCTACTGTTACTTATGGCTGTATTTAGACTGGTTCTTCTCCTGTAGATGAGAAAGTCCAGTGTTTGTCTTTCCCAAGAGAACATGGCTTTGACACAATCATCTCTCAAATTTTAATAAATGTACATGGACCAGAAGAAGCTAAGACCTTTTCAACAAACTTCCCCAACAGCCTAATTTTAGAATATGGAATTGTATCTGGAGATTACTACTCTGGAGAGTCCTTCTGAGATGCTGCATGAACAGATAAGAGGAATGGTGATGTGACTGTATGACTGAAGTGATGAAATGGTAACTTAAAGCCTGTGTACAAGGTATTGCTTTGCAAAGAGGAGTCTTGAATTCCGTTGGCCTACAGCCAACATGTGTATGGGTGCATGCAAACCTGAGAGAACAAAATCAAGATTTGCAAACAACATTCTGGCTTAAAATGGGCTAAAAGCACGGAGTAAAACTCAGGTTTGCTTAGAAAACACTGAATATTCCACTCTTTATATGGAAAGATACATTCTAGCACCATCAGCTTTGAAGACTGTGCTAAACCCTAGCATCATTTAGCATCTGTGCTAAACCCTACTGCAAGGTCTTGATAAATAAAATGAAATTGGCACAAAAACCTAACTTTGCCCTTTCAGAAATTTGAACAAGCACTGTATAATCCAAACACTATGATTCTGTTCAGATAAAACTAACACACCCAAAGAATAGTACACTAACACCTTTTATTTTTGCAGCAGTGGTTTCTCTTCATAGCACAACTGATATCAGCAATGGTTACATTAGAGAAAGGTTTTACAAGAACATTTAATTGACTTCATTCAGGTTAACGGAGCAAGATTGACTCTAATGAAAGGGTCAGAGGCTTCCACAAACAAAGAACTCAAAATCATAAACAGGAATCTTAACATGTTCTTCCTTGGCAAATAATTTTGAAGACTGCCCTTCATGGGCAACACAACTCAAACTGAACATTGCTTTGCTATATTGTCTTGTTAAGAGTTAGAAAGCACAATTACTTGTCTCAAACATTGCTAAGGCCACAGAAGGGAGGAATTTGTGACAGGAAGGTGCTAATTCCAGGCCTGACAGAGGCAAGATCTGGTTAGCACACCCTGGTTATCACACTCCCTCTGTGACAGACTGTGTGACAAGAAGCACCTGCTTATATGCATATCACCGGTCAAAGAAATATCATCCCAAGTTACGGCAAGGCGGCATCTGCGGCCACCAATGGCCACCAAAGCTCCCCCAAACACATCCCTGTGGACACCTGGAACCTGGACTGTATATCAGCAGTACTGCTGTCCAGGTGTTAGGACATAGGGAGAAGTTTACAAAGCTTAGGAAGAATGATGTGTTAGGAAGAACGATAGTGGATACAAAGAATACAGAATTTAGGGGCCATAAGAACATTTGGCAGAAGATACGGAAGAAATTATTAAAACCATCTCAGCAATTCTGATGAAATCAGTTCCAGCTGGGTAAAAGGTAATTCCACACTGCATCACCAACCTAAGAAACCCACCATCCCAAAAGAAGAGAAAGACTGAACAAGCAGACTAATTAGCATAAGATGCATTTAACCAACAGAAGATGGAATACTAATTAATAAGAGAACTATATTACTTATTGCCAATAAGCAGTAATTCATTTGTTTCTAAAATGTACAAATACTGTAAAGATTTGACTGTGGACACAGCACCCCCTTCAGCACAGAACTTACTAACAGATGAACAAACCAGGACCCACACCCCAACACCAAGCCCAGGGTGAAGGCCCAACAAGACACCCCTGGATCCATGGGTGGTGACCAGCTTCTGCTTCCACTCTTTCTCTCTCCTTTTCCCTCTCTCCCTCTCTCTCTGTCCTTTCTTTCCCCATGCAATCAATGTTACAAAAAAAAAGTCAGTACTGTTGAACCAGCATTTGGTCTTGTTGTCACCTTAACTTGGGCAGAGGCATCTCTCACTAATCAGATCATAACATTAGATAAAATGTAATGATTTTATCAGCTGTGTTAACACTTACCAAGTATAGGGTTATACAAGCTGGTCTCCTTACAGATGTTTGGGAAAATAGAAGGTAAGTAGTATTTCTTAAAATTTGAGAATAAAAATGAAAATCCCTTTTCCTGGTTTTCCTTGTTCTTCCATTCTAAACTCTTAACCTTAAAACAAGAATTTGGACAAAGTAAATATCTACAAGTAGAAGAAACAAGTAACTGATGAAAAGTCCTCATTTACTTTGAAACAAAATCATATATATTTTAATAAACAGTTTTAGAAAGATGAAACAGAAACTAGCTGGGAAATGTCAATGAAACAAAGACCATTCTCTTCCAAAATATTGTTTCAAAATGAACTTGAACACACAAAATACTGAAACCAACAGAAATACACTTGCTTTTGCAGTCATCTTGCCAAAGCAGGGAGCATGCCCAAATTGACTGGTTTTAATGAAACTGATTTTATATTTCAAAATGTTTAATAAAAAAGAGTAACTACCCATGCCATTCAAAATATTTCTTTGACAAATTCCTTTTAGACATTTTGACTTACAAGTGTCCATATAGTCATTATAATAAGTATTTGGATTCATTTGTGTAATTGGCGACATCAAACAAACATTTTTCAACCACAAGCAGCAGAAGATACAACTTTGAAGTTCAGTTACACAAATGTACTTTCATGGATTGTGAGTGCTAAGCATTCCTCTTTATGAAATGTTTTCCTACATGGTAAGTAGTACCAAGCATGGTAAGTGATTCTCAAGAAATACAAGAGAATCCATCTTCTTGCAGAGCTAGGTAATCTACCAAATCTATCACAAATAATATAAAGGAAGACTCCCTTCTCTTTTTTTTTTTTCCCTTTCCCCTCTACTTCTCCATTTCTTACTCAAAGGCCACAGTTCTATTATGATTCACTTTCAGGGCAACAGATGTCTAGAGTGGAATATATATGCATATATTTCACCCCCAATATAACTCAACAGATAGCTGAGATATATATATAATTTAGTGACACAAAGTCCTTTATCAGAACTTAGTATCAAAGAACCTTGCAATTATCAGTGGCTTCTAAAGGGACTTCAGAGAACTACTTCAGCACTCATACAGCAAACAAGCTCTATGACACCTGCCTCAATGACTTATGGGAATTTAAATATAATACTACCAATTCATTACAGAAAAGGCAGTTGTCTTCGAAAATATAAGGGCTATTTTTCTTCAAAGTAAATAGCCAGCATTAAGCTAACCCTACAGATTACAAGTATGAAGACCTCTATTCAAAGTGGGAGATGCTGGAAGCAATAAAATGAGGCTGGAAATTATTCCAGCATGGCAAGTGCACAGAGAAAGATGGATAAAGGGAAGCCATGAGATGTTTAACATATATTTGTACACTGTCCACCTTCTCTAGCAAAACCTGTCTAAGTGTGAAGAAAAACTTATAGGTACCCAGCTGGGTTCTGAGGGACAAGTCTGACACTGAAGGCAGGACCAGCAACACCTACCATGTCATGCAGCACATGACAGCACAGCAGGCTCAGAAGCTGCATGTGCTAACTGGCCAGCAAATCAATTACACAACATGTAACAGCTGAGCCACAGTTTTTGACAGAAGATGTTGCTATGCCCCATACTGGCTGAGATCATGGAATTGTCAAACTCCAAAGGGAGGAACATGATGTGTCATGTTGCACACCATGGACTAAATACTCATTCAACTCTTCATTTTCTGCACACAGTTGATCCACTGGTTGAAGGCAACTGGACAGGGAAGGGAAGATGAAAATGAGAAGGGAGCTGAAATCAGTATTGCTAGAAGTGACTGACAAGTCTTGTTTTGCCTCCATGCTACAATCTGATGGAAGATCCTCTGGCAAAAGATCTAGGAATCTTCACACAGAAGACAAGGGAACATTTTTCTAGAAGAATTTGCTATTTATAAAAAAGGGAGTGGCAAGGAAGGATTCTTCAAAACATTTTTACATGCATTTGCAGTGTGCAAGTAAAAAACTTACTGTAAAGAGCAAAGAGGTGTAAATTGTTTCACACTTGTTTGCTTGAAAACTATGGAACGTACCTGAATTACCATGTACTTCAAAAGTGCTTCTAAAAAATAGCTTGTTAAATCTTCTTGTCCTTTATCTCCTGATTGCGGAGGAACAAGTGGAGTGATTTCTTCTATAGTCACTTGAGCTATTTAAAAAAAAACCAGAAGTACATTTAACATTTAGACCGTTTCTTCTCATGCGCAAACATCTATGAAGTTATGAAAGTAGAAATGCACTGCAGCAGCAGAGACACTCACAGGTAAAACAGTCCACCCATAGATTAATGAAAATCAGGAAATTTTAACTTCTAAACCACCATGGATCTAATTTCTTACATATATAAAAAGCACAGCAGACAATAAGTAGGTATTCTCTATGCACTTTTGGAACCTACCTGGCAACCCCAAATTTTTCAAATTTTTTTTTAAATTTTGTTTGGAATTTATGCAAACAATAGTGTAACACCTGTGCTACACAAATGCCAAATCTTTATATCTTTCACCATTTTCCCATTTAGCAGTTGATCAGTTACATTTCCTTTAAGTTTTACTATCTGTATCCTTCTTTGCCTCTGCAGTAAAGCTAGTTCAGAGTCAATTTTTCTCCTGGTCCTGTAGTTAGATGTTCACATTTCAATCTTTGCACTCTGAATTTCTTTGCACTCCGAATTTCACAAGATAACTCCAAAAAGGGCTTAAGTAGGTAGCAAAATTTTACTTGCAGAGCTATCCTGCCATGAAATTTGTCTGGTGTGTTCCAGCAAATTTAATTACTAGTCATGGAGATGCTGCTTTCCTCTACAAGCAATAAAATACTCAAATACTAAGAGAAGATGGAAAGAAGGCAAATCACAACATTCAGGGGAAAAAGCATTCAAGTTTTTAGTCCTATTTATGTGAATGCACAGTTTGCAGTTACATTCAAAGACACCATCCAATTGCAAATCATTAATAAATGAGCTTCAAATCCCACTATCAAGAATAAATTGAGTTAGGAGGCACTTTAATACTAGAGTGTACAAAGGAAAAACTGTCCTAAGAATCACCTTAAGAGAAAAATCATCCTCACTCTATTGATTAGAGCCAAAATAATTACCTTACCATTAAAAAAAACCAAACAAACAAAACCCCAGAAAGTATAAAAACCTCATCTCAGAATGGTCAAGCTTTTCCACACATGCAAACCTTTTAAGACCTCAAGTTTTGCAATTTACAAGGTCTGTTTCTTTTTGAAGATTCTAAGTTGCAAGAATACGACAACTTTAATTACCTGGTCATACACAGACACATTTGTCCTTACACACTGGCCTAACAACCACCCATTCTCTTGAAGGGCACACCAAAAACATCTTTGCACAGCCTGCTCCCTGGAGGATGAACAGAGCCAGTGCAAGTGTACAGCACAAGGAGAATTCACCTGTGCAAGTTTGCAGTAAATGCAGGATCCTCTTGCAATTTTTAAGAAATACACACAATTGGTCAGTTTATTTTCACCACTATGCATTAAGCTACAATAACCAACCTGGAGGGAAAAACCCCAACAACCACAAAAAACAACTAATTCTGAACAACAACAAAAAAGACAGAAATTGCTACAGAAGACCTGACAAACTGCTAAGAAACTCATCTCAGCTCCATTATCTCCCTGGGTATGTATGTGTATCAGTTACTTCAACCTCCTTCGTCTGTGACAAGATTTGAATTATGTTGAGGATTGAGTAATATTACCAAATTACTTACTTTCTTGGACATTAAGGGGAGGGTTAATGAGATTATCTAGTGTTCGGGGGCCATATTCAGACTGTGGTGATGAAAATCCAGGAATCAAGCAAGAAAACATCCATAATTGTTCTCTACTACAGTTATTTTGAAGTGCTTGCAGCCACAAAAGAAAGAGACGCACACCCTCTCGACGTATCTTAAAGGAAAAAACATGGAATAAGTTATCTTGTGCCAGAAAAAACAAAAAAGCATCTGTCCTGAAGGGAGAAGGGGAGAGATAAAAAAAAATTATGACAGACAGTATGACCCCCAGCAATCAGCAGAGTGAAACTAACACATCTGCTGCTCCTGATGAAATGCAAGGGCAAGCCTGGCACCTTCACTGCTGTTTGCCTCAAAGAATTTCTCACAGGAGTTTCTCTGAAAGAAGAGGAAGAAAACCAACATGTCTTGTCACTTGCTTGACTACACCACTGCAAGATGCCACATGAATTTTTCAGAAAATACAAAGACCAACATAAAATTTCTAAATATGTTCATTAATTATAACAACTGACTGAGTGAGCTCTCTGTACCAGAAAGGCAAATTCTACCAGCTTCCATTTCTTCTTCAAAAAAGGTAGAGTCCTAGAGCACTCCCTTTCTGGCTCTCATACTGGAGAACTTCAGTACCAGAGAAGCCTGCAGGTAGTTTACGGAGGAGTGGGAGTGGTGCAGCTGTTTTGTCCCAACCATTCAAATTACCCACCAGCAGGCCACTCTGGCACAGATAATCTTCCACTTCCAAGGTAGACTGAGCCCCAAAATCAGCATCCTTGCCCTAACAATGAACAGTTAATACTTACTACTTTGTTAATGCAAAATCCTCTAAACCGCTGGCTACACTATATAAACACATTACTACTCTAAGTAGTTTTACTGAGATAAAGCCAATGATTTGGAGTCATTCTTGCATGATACACAAGTCATGATCTAGTTCTCATTCCTAGGTTTTTACTGTAAAAATTTGCCCTTAAGTTCTTATTTCTATTTTTAAGTATTGTAGACAAAATTGCATGCAACTTTTTGCAGTACCTTTAATGAATTTCCAGTGTGAAGAAGCTTCTTTAAAATCAACCCTAAAAAAAAAAAGGAGAAAAAAAAATTGTTTGCTTTTATTCTTTCTACATTAAGTAAAATGTCAGAGTTCTCGGTCAGACTTGATAGCCACTTTTAAACAAGTCCTTGGCAATCTCCAGTTTAATCTTGGTGACCTTGATACCTTCAAGCAACTGACTCTATGCCAGAAGAGAAACAAAATCAAGTATCACCTTTCACAGCCTACTCATAGAATATTTTTCCTCAAAGACTTTTGAGATGTGAACATTAAAAGTAAATCAAGTCATCACAATGCATAAAATCAGAATTCCCTATTTACAAACATCTCATGTCAGTTTTGAAATGTATCACTAAGAGAAAGAAAATAAGGAAAAAAAAATTTAAACTCCAAACTTTTCACCTGTCCTTGTTCTTTCTCAGCCACTCTTCTATTTCTATATTCCCAGATATAAATCTATACAGAAGAGTATTCATTACATTGGCGGGGGTTTTGTCTGTTTTTTTTATTTTCTTTTTTATTTTCCTTCACCTAGCTTGCAAAATTCTCTGGACCATAACCCCTGTTAAGCCACTTAAACTTTAAGGAAATGAATGGCATAGTAGCCACTAACTGGTAGCTACTAATAAAAAGTAAAATGAAAGGGAGAGGGAAAGGGAGAGGGAAAGAAAATCAACTTACCAATACTATGAAATTGCCACCTCTGATGAATCCTTTCAGGAAGGAGTTGTAAAATTTTCTAAAAAAACCAAAACCCAAGCATGTATGTTGCAGATATCACTCTTGAAATATCAAACAGCCCTTTCACAAGGCCACAGATCAGAAGTTGAAGCATCAACTTAGAAAATTCCCACAATGTTTTCCTTGGAAGCATTGTTGTCCTTTCAAGATGACCCCATTCCTAATGTTAAGAAGCCCAAAGGCTCTGACAGCCTGTCTGTAAGTCCTGCACTGGAGACTTCATATGTTACTGCAGGTCATCTGGCTGCACTACTCCTCTGACAGACACTGCTGCTTAAACATAGGGAATGGAATGAGATCAGGGTCTGTCTCAGCTGCTCTGGTTCACAACAGATTGCATTAAGTTATTTCACCTTTCTAACAGCTTCAGGTAGGATGTTCAGCTGTCTACTTGCCTCTGTGGCACAAGCAAACATGTGCTTCAGCCTTCTCCACCGAGGGGAAATAAGCCCTCATTTTTACTACAGCAAAACAGAGAAGACAAGACCTCTACAAATAGAATGATCATCTCCAGAAACAAGAAACAGAGCACCGTTAGTAATTCCAAATCTACCATGTAAGACTTGCAACATTTACACTAGAGGCATTTGCAACTTGTAAATAATCTGATTTTTCCTGGCTGTGCCCTCCAGCACACCATGCAAGTGCTTCCAAAGCACAGATCACCTAATATTCCTTTATGCAGGAACTAGTGAACAAATGAACTAGCTCTTTTTCACATTCACCAGTGTACCTCACTAATAAGAAATAACAACTGAATTTGTACTCAACCATGTGATAAGCATCGATCAGCTCTTAGCCTTGCATATTTTTAAGAAACACAATCCTTGCTCTATAATTAGAAGCCTCCATCAAAAAGAAGAGACAAAAACGTGACGTTCTAAGGTATTTCTAAACCATAGTGTCTGCTTAGAAATGTTCTGATTTTATTAAATTATTTCATTAGTGTCTATTGCATCTTAATTATGTCAATATATGCTTTTGGAAAGAATATAATGAAATGCAATTTTCAAATAATTAATATATTTTTAAATAAGGAATATTTTTTTAAAGGATCTTATTAAAAAAATTCTGCAGTAGCAATCTACTATGAGAAAAATCAGAGATAACATGCAATAAAAAGGTCAAAAACATCATGACTAAACAGAGATCACCTTTCCATGAATTTCAATGTGTATAACACATGATGGGGAAATACCACCACCAAAGAGTAATCAACTATCTAGAGACACAAAAACATGTTTTTCCAGTTTAGACATCTTGCAAAACCACAAGTCAAATTTTTATTTTTAAAACAAAGCACATAAATTCAGCTCTATGCAGAAGTAAGACAGAATGCAGTTAAATGCAAAGTGTATTTACAGACGACTGTAGAATAATAGGACTTAAAGCAAAAATATTGAAAATATCTTACCTCAAAAATAAAAAGAATAGAATCTAATTCTTCTCTCTGAGACTTGTGACCTAGTTGCAAAAATAAATAGTTAAAACAGTTAAATATAAATAGAAGATGCACTTTCATTATCAAAACAAAGATCCTTAAATGTGTTTATACAACCATAACTTTGCACTGCTTCTAGAAATAAAAATTATACTCCACAAATACAGTGTATAGCAGCTACAATTTGCATAACTTCCTATTGTGGCATCCACAACTGGGAGAGATTAAGTCACACAATATCTTGTTAAAGAATAATCCTGCAGAATACAAAGTATAACACATTAAGAATCCTCACTTTGCAAAAGGGCAAACACAGTCATCAGAGAACAAACACTTTTTGCTCACCTCCACTGAATGCATATCTCACTGCTCTGCCTTCATTTGCAAAGTTAGTTCTTAGACATACTTCTGCACGACTGATGTTGTCATTTGTGACCACACAAAGCTTTATTTATAGCACCCTGCTTTATTTCGTAACAAAGGCACAAGCATCAAGACAAAAAGAGTTCTGTCTGAAATACTTACCTTTTTGTTTAAGGCCCACTTCAATAGTCACAAAGTTTTCGAAGAACACATAATATATATGTGAAAAATGTAGGTCAAAAAACTGTTTGAGATCAATTGATTCTGCATTGTCTGAAAAACAGAACAGAACATTATTTATATTTATTTCAAATATTCAGAGTCAACCACTACACACCATTATCCAGCAGTAAGAACTGAAGATATTTAAAATAAAAATTATTGGTTTTTAAATAAATAACTGAATCATTAAAGACACCATTGAAGTTTTAATTCTTTACTCTGAGGCTAATGAAATTCAGTATGGCATGCCGTAAGTGCCGAGTGAATTTTAGAATGGGAAGCAGCATCTTCTTGCACACCCATTGTTTGCATGATAGTAATGCCAACAAATGCCAGTCATGAACCCTAATTCCATCAGGACTAGCACTGTACAGATGAATCTGTTTTCAATTGTTACTTTGATAGAAATAAAGCTTGTGACACTGCCCAAACTCTACAACAGAAAGACCATCACAATCTCCAACTGCAATTACTAAGCACAACTAAGTTTACTAAAGAAAGTGGAAGAAGGATGTTAAGTGAGGAACACATCTGCTCCGTTGATAGATAAGCTGGGAGGATGCAAACAGCAGCACTGGATTCCCACTGTTGCCTTCTTATTCCCTCCAAGTTCCAAGATGCACTTTACTCTCTAGTCTGGCTTAGTCCCTCACACTCCTTTGATTGTGTGGTCTAGGGAAATCAGAAGATGGGATCTCAGGGATACCCTGAGGCAGAAACATCACTCTAAATATAGGGGAATGTGCTTTCTTGTGTACCCCAGGAAGCTTTCCAGACTCTCTTCCCTAACCCTCTAGATGGTTTTCTGCAAATTCCTGACACAGAAATACACAGTGATTTATCCAGATTAATTTTAAAGTGATCACTTTAAACAATCAAGCCTTAGTACAGACTGTCTAGACACTCCCTGTCCTGTTATTCAACTACGTAAGACTTGAGAAACTAGGTGGACAAAACAATACCATGGAAGCACAGAGGAACAGGAAGATAGCATTTTAAATGACAAAACGCTCCTTATTCAGAATACTGATGTGTAACAAACAAAAACAAAACATGAAGAAAGGTGAGTCAAACAAAACCTTTATACCCATTCACCAGCTGTATACATTGAAACACCCTCTTTCACCGTCTTCTAAAAAGCTCCTTCTAATTCTGAATTGGATCACAGAGTTTTTAACCCTTTTTAGAATGACATCAATTTTTATCATCTCACATGACTGGATATATAAATGGTAGAGTATAAAGTCAGGAACAATGAACTGAAAGGATGGCCAAAAGCATGGCTTATTTTCAGTTATGTTTTCTTATATAGCTCTAAAGGACTATTAACTCAATTTTGACACAAGTTTTGCTAAAAAAGTTTCCAACACAGCTTTAACTTTTGCTGTATCACAGCATTCTGCCAACATCCTGCATAATGAGTGCAGTAGAGCCAGGGTGCTCTTGGAGCAGATAGTGCTATATCAGCATCCAAGATCAACTCTTAAGCATGGCAGCTCAGCTGGAATAAACAGTGGTCCAGAGCAGCAAGTATGTGCCTGACCATGCACAGGCTTACCAAACCCCCGGGTTTGCAGAAACTGCCACACCACCTACAGATCAGCAGCTGAACTGCTACAGTTTAGGACAACAAAAACCAATTCCACTTCAAAGAAGCTGAATGATGATTTTCAGTTGATCAGGGAAAAGCACACAAAATGGAGCTGTGACTAGAGCATAGGCACAACCATTACAACTGCTTCCACTCATGGGTAGAGCCCTGAGTTCTAGGCTAGGGACAAGAAAATACCAGAAGAAAAATCAAAAGTTTGAGATGGAAGGATTAAAGAAGGAAAAGAAAGCAAGAATTGAGGCTTTCAGGAGAAAGAAGGGTGACAGAAGGTATCTTGTAGTTTATAGGACTAAATAGGGATTGCATGTAGACAGCAGTGGAATGGTTCACTCAGTGCAAAGGTGCAGAAAATACTGGTTCCAAATACTGAAAGGATAGGAAGCAGTTAAACAGGGTCTCTTCCAATCAAAACACAAGAGTGCTGCATTTTTGCAGACATGTTAAATGTTTTGTTTCCTGAAACAGGCCCTTGTTCTTTCCTCAGACATGGGTCGGCTCTGAAGCAGACCAACAGAAAAACCCCAAATGCCTCAACCAAATGTATTCTTTTAAACACTCAATCTTAACACAACAGTCAGTAATTTTTGGAGACGCTATTCCTAAATTCTTCAGGCAACAAACTGAAGGCTTGTCTTCATAACCAGCTGAACAGTGACTGTCATTTTACCACATAATTGCATATGCACAACTGGTACTGTGGTAAGACATTCTGCCTTTCAGTGGACGGTGAAGTGTAATTTCAGAAGTTTGTCCTTTTAAAAATTTTTTGTTAGTTTGTTTTGTATGTATTTAAGAAAAATGTGTCAAACACCTCAAAAATGCTTGAAGGAGCATTGGTAGACCTGTATTACTACCACTAACACCCAATTAACATTAAAAGCATACCTTCAAAATATTGTTATAGCTTGCAAGACTCGGAGGAGAGTAAAAAATTCCTTGACTTCACAATTTCTACAGCAAATGCATTTCACTCTGATTCCTTTCTAAGATCACGCTTGACAGCAAAATCAAAAGCAAGTTTTTAAAATTGAAACCAGTTAACAACAACTATATTCTGTAATAAATACTATCGCTTCAGATGCAAGAAAGTATAACATTTTATTTAATGGGAATTTTATTTTTTTATTAAGTGAAAATAATGCTTTTTAAGAAACCCACTAACTCCTTTTGTTAATGCTGAAAACCAGCTTTCCTCCTAAGGGAGGGAAAACAGTTGTTCATCTGACAGGCTTGCCACCTACAGCAAAAGGAAACATCTGCTCATCATCAAAGGATGCCTATAGTGACTCAGTAAGCTGCTGGTGTGCAAATTTGGAACCTTGCATTTGTTGAGAAGTTTAAAATTCATATTGACATGAATTATGGCAAGAAGGAGAAGGGCAAAAAATAGCAGATACAGCATGGAGATAATTATGTAGACCTTAAGAGGGCTTGATCTGGCCACCTGTACACATCATTCAATTTCACAGCTATATCTATACTGAACACAGTCCACACACTAACGCATGGAGAGAATACTGCTCTCCTTGATTACTGTACCATTAAAACTCCCAGTTATATGCTGCTGTTATAGCTTCCTTCCTTAAGTAAGGATTTGGGTTTTTTTCCTAATGTCTCTAAAATATTCAGTTTACCTCTATTCTTGTTATCAGCTAAAAAACCAGCTCCTCAATTCTCATGTCACAACCATTTTCTCCAACACCATCTCACTGTCTCTTCTCTGTGCTCTCTCAAAGTATCATGCATGTTGCATAGATGTAAAAGTTTTTCTCTACAAGCAGCATATCCTTTTCAGACAGCCCTGAACTGAGAATTTGCAGGAAGTTGCTCCTCTGCTTTGGCTACTTAAGTATTTTGTCTTTTTGAGAAGAGAGACATAGCCTTTTTTAATGTGAAATGGGATTAAACAGAAACAGGCTTTCCTCTACAACTTCCAGTGCATTCCTATTTTTTCATTTTAAACAAAAACACTTTATATTCTTCTACCACAGATCATGCAACTAACACAAACTAATTCTTCTACCACAGATCACGTAACTAACACAAACTAATGTACTCCTTGTGTTCTCGCTTATGTCCAGATTCGGAGGAGGGAAGGACGCAGAAGTAGATCTGGCACCATATGAAGCAGTTAGAACAGCTCCTCAGAACGTGAAAGGGAAAACTGGGACTTCAAAGGGAGGTAAAACTGAAGTTTCTACTGTACAAAGCATACTTGCAATACACTAAAATCCAGATTTTCAGCATTTCGTGAAAGCCGTGTGTCAAGAAAATGCAGTTTTCTCCATGCTTTACAACAGCAAAAAACATGGATCTTTGCTGCTTTCTCCTTAACAATTTTCTGTAATTTAAAAACTGGTACAAATCTGATCTCCATACTATCTCTGTGTTCAAGGGTGGTTTGTTTTGTTTTGTTTTGTTTTGTTTTGTTTTGTTTTGGCAGGGTTTGCTTTAAGTTTGATATTTTAATTGTTTACCTTTAAAGTTCTGTCCTTTGCAGAAAAGTACTAGCTTACTTGCTTTACAATATTTTAATTTCACACAGTATTGTGTCTCTTTGTGCTTACATGTCATTTTCTCCTTAAAACAAACCCTGCCAAAACAGATTTTAGACATATATTTAAACTCTTCTGAAAAGAACTTTCATAATTTCACAGTGCATTGCAGAAATTAAATAAAACAGTCTGTATCATTACAGATTAGGTTGTGACTAATTTTATGTTCTATTTTAAGAGTTTTAGAATGTAATACTATGTTTATAAGTAAAATTGTGAGAGCACTTAGTATAATGGAAACATTTTCCTGTCTAATTCCAAGACTTGCTGGCTTTCAAGTCACTTTCCCTTGCCCTTACCAAAACCCAAACTGACAACTGCAGCAAACAATGACCTGGAAGACAGCCAGAATTCTGGATCTATTTTTGTAAAGCAGAGGCCTGCCGTGGACTGACACGGTGAGTATCAACCCCTGTAACAAAGTGGTGCCACCAGAAAGCAAAGGTTTCCATGTTCTCAATGGACAATCAAACTTATTAATTCTTAATTCTCCATGCTGAAATATTTAAGGGTTTCTTTAGAACAAAACAGTAGAGAGATCTGGTTACATAAGGACTGTCTCGAATAGAAAAGCATGTAACTGAGAAAGGTTAAGCGGAAAACCTCGGGAACTAACTGGTGGCTCTGGCATAGTTAACAGACTGCCAAAGTGAAAGAGCCCTGATAACAGACCACAAATGCAAATCTATTACACACACGCTTCACATTAGCCCTTACTGTTTCAGAGCTAACCAACAGCTATTTAGCAAAAGCATTTTTTTAAAAAAAGGTAATTTTGTCAAATAAAATATTCTTGAAGGTTTTGGTACTGAAAAAGGAATGTAACTTAAAGAAATCTTCTAATGGGCTTCTATTTTGCATCAGACAGGTCTGAACTCCTGATC